CCCCGCGCGCGCATGCACTCTACAAAAATATAAAATAGATATTTATTCAATTAAACATTAACGCTTTTATGATTTTGACAGCATATAATACATTTTGTAGTATACCTATACAAGCCTTCTGATTCATTGAATTTAATATTTTGTATGTAATTCTATTTCTTTTCAATAAATAATTCCAACACATCTTTATCTATCCACTTTCATTACATGTCATTGAAAATGAAGCATTTTTCAGCATTAATACTTGTAAATACACAGTGCTTCTTCCAATCTGGAAAAAAAAACAGATAAATATGTAGTATAATTGTATGCATAAATTCAAAATAAGTTAATTAAAAAAGATAAAAATTTTTACAACATACTTCTTTTGAAGATTTTTTATCTCATCATATATTTCAGCAAAATTCTTCAATCCAGCATTAACAGCACAATATGTTTCGCCTTTTGATCCAATTAAATTTATAATGTTCTTTAAAGCATTTAAACATTTATTTAATATTTCCTGAGTTTCTTTCCATTCATCCTGTGTTTCAGGCAATATTATGCCATTACATCGCAATACGTCCAAAGGTTCCAAGAGAGATTGTAACTTGAACAACGTATCTTTTACAATCTTAAATGCCTCATCCTCTGTAAAAAAAAAAATGTAAAAAATAGTTTCATTTAATAATCTAATCTCTGCAAAAAATAGTTTAATATAATTTCAATTAGTTTAAGTCTTACTGGTGCATTTTGATACTTCAATCAGTTGAGCGTCTGCCTCTTTTTGTGCTAAACTTAAATTTATTATATCACGTTCCCTTGCTTTAATTTTCATCAATTTTTGCGTATCTTGATCAATCTCTTGCGCCACGGTGGCTAATTGTATGACCATTAGACGCTTCTTCTCTTCAACCTTTTTCTTTATTATGAGATCCATCATTATACTTTGTAAATATTCATCATAAAAAAGTCCAAGTTCTAACTCCTCACTGTCTATTTTCCTTTGTGCATCCAATGACAGCTGAGATTGATTGTACGCTGTAGGCACAATTGATTGCTTGCCTCCAGCAATCTTCTTTTTTGACACTTCTATAAGTAACATGGACAATATTAAAATAAAGCAAATAAAGCAGTCAACGAAAAAATTCAAAAGAAAATTTTAATAAAGCTCTTACTCTGGAACTGCGCAATATCACTCGGCATCATGGTTACTCTGTTACGAGACATGGTTTTGGTAACATTGATCGAGGGATCTGACAGATTTCCTGCAATCTCTGGCGTATTTGCATTGCGAACTCTACAAAAATATATACTATATTATATAAAACAAGGTATAAGTTTCACAGTTTGAAAATTTTCATCTAATTCGAGATCTAATTGTAATATGTGTGTACACACACAACACAGATATATACACATTTCTCGACTTATTGTTAGACACAATCTTACCTTCGAACAGTTCCTAATTTTGGAGTGATCTTTGGCTGTTCTTGCATTGTGTTCGTTGTTCTACCAGACTTGAATATTTTTATTATTACAGCTCGTTTTGAGTTTTCACTGTTCGTTTCGTTCTCCGTTATTTTATTCGTTTTGTATCTTACCATTTATTTTACTTTTTCCCCTTTGACTTTGGCACGTTTATATACAAATGTCAACAGTGTCAACACTTGCCGAGATGTATGCTCTGAGGTTAGATATTTAAATATCTAACCTCTAATTAAAATGCGTATTGTATTTAAATATTCACGCATGACTCAAAGTTGTGTGTCATAGTTTCATAAAAATATAAAAAATATTTTATATATATAAAAGATTAATCTTTCCCATGAAACTAAAACGAAAGGTTTAAATTGTTTGGCTAACAGTCACGATACACGAATATCTAGATACGATGCGATAAGTATAAAGCAAAACGGAAGTACTTAATTTCAAAACAGTGGAGGCAACTTAACTGAAAGCTGAAAAAAATTGCCTCCTCTCTTCTGTTTTTAATTTACTAGTTTAGTTGAATTAAAAATATATGAATGTTAAATATGATAATATATAGCCACTTTTCAATATTTACGAAAAGTTGAAAATTATACATGGTTATAAAAAAAAAAGAAGAACAGGTCCCACCGAGATTTGAACTCGGATCGCTGGATTCAGAGTCCAGAGTGCTAACCATTACACCATGGGACCTTGATCTAAAAAGTTTTTATGCTCGTTATTACTGTAAATTCAACAATATATATTTATAAAAATATATGAACTTTATTTTTTTATAATTAAAATAAATTTTTTATTCAACATTTTATAATAAAATATTTTCCAAACAATTACATAATTTTTATATTAAAATAGAATTTTTTGCACATATTTTTCATAAAATAATAAATTAATATTAAGTTGCTAACGATTTTAATAGAGCTGTATTGATAAAAACATAAAAATTATTTCACATCATATGCATGACATTTATTTACAGTTCATGTATCTTTATAAAATATAAAATAGTTATGCACTATGTATATTCACAAACAAATCTATCTGAAGAGGTGGGCTTAGTTGACTTGTTCTTTTTCTTCAATTTGTACATCTAAATTTTTATTATCACTAGTATAATTTTCTTGCTTTTCTGTTGTATCAATATTTTCTTCAGGATTTTTTTCATTTGTTAACTCTGCTACTTCTTCCTTAGGAGTTGCCTATAAACATTTTTTTAATTTATACACTATTTTCGAAATATTAAAGATTTATCAAAACTCTTTAATATAGAAAATAACAATAAACAATAATCTTTACATGTATAATAAATCTTATGTACATATAAATCAATAATTTTTCATAGATATAAGTTTGTGTAAATTTTATAAAAAATAATCTTACTTTATTTTTTGTACTGTTGCATATTTCGAGAAGATTGTATTTCTTAAATTTATAATAATTAGGAGCAATAGATAGTAAGCAAATCCCACGTATCACTTCAACAATCACAGCTATGTCTGGATTTTTCAAATCTGCTTTATTACCAGGATTTTTCTTCAATATTATTTCTGCCAAATCTTCAATAATTTCATCCCTTTTAATGCTGTTATTACTGCGACGACTGGAACATTATTAACTTTCTAAATAAAATATCAGGATCATATCAATGCCTTGATCATGCAAAACACTATCTGTTGACTTACTTAAACACAATGCTGAATGTCTTGGGCTCCTGAGCAAAATACTTTTCAAATAACTCACTCGCTTTCGTCTTTATGTTGTCCATATATGCTTTGCATACAACTTCAATGGGAAGGAGCCTTAACAGATACCTAGTACATTGCTCTTTGGTCGCGTCTAGCTTGGAGACAATTTTGGTAACCAACTCTAATGGATTTGGTAAGGTACTAGTTATGAAAATCATATTTTTTACACCTGTATCTACTACCTGTGGGAAACAGTGATATTGATAATTGCAAATGTTATTGCAAAGGAAATAATTTCATTAATACAATGTGTTGTTAGCCAATATATGACATAAATATACTTGAAATTTTCGAGAAGGCAATGGCATCTCGCGTTCCGTTCGGAGTTCATTAATTTCTTTCTCTAAAGCAGTTGATATATCTTCATCTTCATCATCTTCTAAAGATTTATCAGTTTCCTTTTTGGTAAATGTGTTTGATGTACTCGACGTCCCGAATTCCTTAAATTGAAAAATAAAAAAAATATATATATATTTGTAATAAATAGTAAATGCTTGCAAATATCTTTACACTTCTTTCCGCGCGTATCTAAGCACATGTACCTTATTCATATCTGATTTCTCATCCGCAAATAAATTTAGTAATCTGTAAGCATCAGTAACGCAGCCTCTCTCGTGAAAGTTGCACGTGCATAAAAATCCCGTCATACCAGGTTCCAACACAAATTGTTTACGTTTTTTACAATCATTACGATTCACGACATATTTGCTATTCCTTTTTCGTGTATTTATTGCACTACGCGTCTCCATTTATTTATTTATTCTTTTCCCCCAATTCTTTAATTTCCGTCTTAAGACAAAAAAAAATCCGTTTAACGACAACAATAATACCTATCTCTTTACTTATTATTTTTTTCGTATCAAATCAACTGGAGGACTGCGGTAATAACAATATAGACGTAAGCAGAGAGAAGCGTGAGAGAGGCCACGCTGGCTTTTTGGATGGACCGACGATTCTCCTCCGTACACTAGCGCCCCACGTCCACGTTTTCAAAAAAGGAACTACGTACCACGTCTATCTTATACCATTGTCGATCAAATCATAGCATTAGAACGTGGTTCGTGTCCGTGCTAATCGTGTCTTATATGTATATGCATCTTTCTTTCTTTTTTTTTTATTTCTCGCAAAACTTTATATTACATAAATTATATATATTTTTTAAATTAAAGATTTTAATACAAGTACATATTAAATGTTATATGTGAAAGATGCTATCATATACAAAGTATCGTCGTAATTAATATATGCGACCACTTTCCGGATATCGCGAAAGTTGCCGCGATATCCGGAAAGTGGTCACGTACGACAATTAAAATCAAGAATATAAAGAAGTCGAGTACACATATCTAAATTATACGACAAAATTATAATTTTAACCTATAGACACAATATAAAGTATGTACATATAAAATTTAATTTAATATAATATAAAATTTATGATGTATATCATAAATGTATGTGTATAACATAAATTTTGTATACATTATTGTATCGTGATGTTAAATAAATTTTAAATATATTTGTGTATTACATAAAAAAACACAATAAAAAAACTAGAAAATTCATTGTATAACGCGATACAATTACGATGATTTTTTTTAGACACAATATATTTTAGACATATTACATAATTGAAGCACATTAATAGCTAATAAAATTTACACCTTTTTGCTTCAGATATAAATTTACGCACTATAGCCAATATTGACAAAGCTAAAATATATCTACCAATTATGTTTACTTAAATATATTATTAATTTCACTTAAAAAATTTATATAAACTTATGTAACTTTTAATAATTAAAAAAAATTTTTAAATACATTAAACATTGGTTACTAATAATCTACCTAAATACTTACAATATTATATTGTAATTTTTTATCGGACAAACAATTATTGTGGATAACATTAGAATACGCTATAATTAATAAAATAGGAACATGAAGATTAAAATGATTTTCATACAATAAAAAGAGGGATTATCTTTAATTATATTGAATATTTGCCTAACATTCATAATTACCTTTTCAAGTTATATAAAATGATTTTTACATATTTATATATAATGATAATGATTGTGAAACATAAGAAATTTCTGTTTTGAAAGTATTTTAGATGTGTGCACGTGTACATTGCCTAACCACGTATCCATGCATTTGTGCGCAATGGCAAAATGGCAAAATATACGTATGAAGTACGTATAAAATATCTCTGATAAATTAATATATAATGTTTATTAAAGCAGTTTAAATACATAGCTATTTAGAGAAGTATGTTATCAACGATGTATACCATACACATAGGCAGTAACAATAATTATGCGAATATCTGAATTATATAATTGTGCAATTTAGAGAATTATTGTAAACTTATCTCGAATTTATCATTTTACATGATTAATATACAATGTACTAAAATATTTATTACGTTTGCAATGTCGCTTCTACGTCTTCTTATTGTTGACTGCGTTTTCGCGATTGTATATTTAGTACGGAATAAAATCAGAAAAGTAAAATTCTAAAATTTATAAGATCGTGTAATAACATTCATGTGGTGGTTAAAATCTACCGATATTGGAGAAAGCAGCGAATAATGGTGCTCCAGTTGTTGCCGCAGGTGGCGGTTGTTGTTGATCGCCGATGTTTTTTAACAGATTACCTTGCAAAAGACTGTCAAGAGCTTTCTGAACTGTCGGATCATTTAGGAGAGGCGATGGCGAAACTCCTGTAGACGAGGTTGTCGTGGACGATGTGACTGCATTTGATGCTATCGACATAATACAATAAACATTTATAAAATTTATAGTTTCATGCGCTACGCAAATACTACAAACTACTACATGTAATTGGTAAATAAGTACATTTCCAAAGTTTATTTTCGCTATTTTAAGCAAAAAACTATACTTGATATATTCAAATTAAATTGCAAATAAGATTTCTTGGTTGATACCGCAAATTTGTACTTATGCCATAACATTTTAAGGCCAAGATTTTAATTCGCAGTTTTAAAAAAAATTTAAATTCAAAGATTTTCGTACATATAGATATGTCACATTATAATATTAATTTGATCAAGAGCATATAGTTTATATTCTGTCAATTTCTTGTCAATTACACAAGTTGTAATTTTTACCTGTTCCCCAATTAGCTGGTGGTACAGGAGTTGGTGCTGAAGTCGGTGGTGGTACCGGACTTGGCTCTACCACAGGCGGTGCACTTTTACTATTATTTAGAATATTTAGTATTCTCGTTTGTAATTCGGCCTGTTTCGGATCGTTGACTGGCGCGAGCGAGGTTTTTATCGGTAAATCTTTCGCGTCGCCCAATTCAACTTGCACTTGCTCTTCGCGTTTCATATCGAGATACTTTATGACACGATCGTATTGCAGAACTGTGAGCTGATGATTATCGGCCAGCATATTGAGAAGAACCTGTATAGCATCCGGATGACGTTCGTTTGCAAGAGGTGTGTTCAAAGGGACTGAACGGCCACCAGCTTTATAATTCGTAAAATCTCGAGAAATGAAATTTATAGCATCTTCAACGGGCATGTTTCTGTGTTCTTCAACTGTGTCAATACAACAATAAATATAATGAATTAATATCATTATGCAGATCAACTCAATTAATTTTTTAATTATTGAAACTACCTTGTGGCGAGCCGTGTAGAATATTCAGTGTTAAGGAATGATGCTCGTGGTTGATAGGCGTAACGACTACGGCGTACAGACAACCTCGACTCGCTATATTTCCCAAAACACGACTCAGAGGAACATCTTCATTCGGAAACAGCAAATCTACCATTAAACCGATTTGCTTCAAACGTAATTCGATTTCTTCTGCATATTTCCTGCATATTTAATAAACAATATGTTATACAAAATTCAAATATGACTCAGTCAAACTGTAATCTTATAATAGATATCTCACGTCAACGCTTTATTAACGACAATAATTTCACAGTCATTCTTCTCAGCTGCAATGGCAAGATAATCAGATGATCCACTTGTGTTCCTGTACAACAAACAAATGCTTTATTGTTTAATTAACTGATAATCACATCTCGATAAAATCTTATTAGAATCGCCGCTGTTTACTTAAAAAAATGAAATTTGTTAATTATTTATTAATTATTACAAAAATAACTGTTTTACCCAAAATTCGCATTTGCCTCTCGAGTTCCAGACGCCTTGAATTCATCGTAACGATTTCCACTGTCATTGAATGAATCTCTAGCAAAATTGTTGTTACGTAATCTATCTCCTTGTTTGAGATCTTCCATCCGATTATTCCTATTAATTGGACTTCGATCTCTGAAATTATTTATGTTCGGATTGTTGGGATTGTTCTGATTATTTTTATTTCTGTTCTTTCCACCTCTCGTCCCACGAGCTCTGCCGCCAAGGCCCACACCACTGGCATTTTGGTTTTGGTTATTACCCGGATTAATTTGATTTCGATTTGGGATTCCTCCAGGCCTGTTCTGATTTCCCATTTGGTTATTTCCAAATTGATTGTTAGTGCCTCTGTTTTGATTGCCGCTGGTAACAAACTGATCATTTCCACGATTTGGATTATTCATATTAAATTGATTATTTCCACGATTTTGCGTGGGATTATTAAAATGATCATTTCCATTATTATTATTAAGTTTTCCATTAAATTGATCATTATCATTATTTCCAACCTGATTTCCATCATCAAAGTGATTATTTCCACCGCTTCTAGATTGAGCGTTCAAATCTTTTTGGTTGTTGCCAAAGGTATTGTCATTCCCAAAGTTCTGATTTATTGCACCAGTATAATTTGGTTTATTCATACCAAATGATTCATTTGAATTATTGAATTGATTATTCATGGGATTAAATTGGTTATTTGATCCACCCATTTGTTTTGCATTTGAATTCCCGGCATTTCCACTACCACCAGATTGGTTATCTTTCTTCGCCGGTCTGACATCTACAAATTAGAATTGGAAAAAAAGTATAAAGCTTGAATGATCGCTTTATATGTCCTTAATACATTTTTCCAAAATAAAGAACAACGATTATTTGGAAAGAGAGAAATAAAGAGACTCTTAATCAAAGGATAATGATGTCAGGAAAAGTATCATAATTAAGTATGCTCATTTGCATCTCTATAATGTACCTATACGTCTGCCTTTAAACATTGCACCGTCTTCATTTTGAATAGCCTTCTGCGCTGACTGCTCCTCTTCGAACTGTACAAATCCAAAGCCTCTGTTTATTATTGACGCTATGACAGTGCCGTACTTGGCGAAATGTTCCTCCAGCTCTAGCTTTGTAACATCGTCAGTTTGTAAATGACCAACAAATATACGGCTGGACGCGGTGGCAGGATCTTTCAGAAGCCTAGCGCTCATCCTGATTTTACACAAGGAAAAAAAACACTATTGTAGAGTTCATAGATCATCCACAGATTATCAAGTAAGAATCGAGGCAAACGCAGCATGCGAAATTACAACTCGTCGATCGCTGTAACGTCAAATATCATTTAATACCACGTCAAAATACATAAAATTATATGTAACATCTGACATTAAACTGACTAAGCGAGTTCTGAACGCTCATTGAATTAATATAAAAAGCCACTGCGACGAGAACTTGTGGACCACTGTTGAAACTTACTTCGGATGGCTTTCTCACGGAACTCGATCACCATAAAAATCCAAGAATCTTCGTCAATCGCTGTTTGTATGTTTTGGAAAGAAAATATCGTTGCGCGAGTCGCGACTCACAACAGAGACATCTTGCCAATACGAATCAGCGATGCCAACTGTTGGCTACAAAACAAAAGAAACTTATTCATTATTTAGGGCTGTAGCAGAGGGAGAGGGCAGTGGTTGGCACTTGGAAACTAGACGCGCTCTGGCCAATGACAGGCGTCAGAGAGCTTTGTCCAGGATATATTTCGCGCATGGGTTAGGTTAGGTTATATCAATTTGACAGTTTAGTTATATTAGGTTATATCAATTATTTTCCACCCCTTGCCGAGTCATATACATGACCGTGAAATTTCTTCGCTTTTTCGAACGCGAGACGAGTTTCGATAAGTCGCGGAGGTTCAAAGTCTATCGTCCAATCATTCGCGATCCGTCGTCATCAGTGGTCACGGATCATATGATCGATCGACGCGCATTTTTTGCACCTGCATTTTTCTGTCCGCAGTAAATTATTTTTACAAGTATTTGGAGGTGTTGTTCCATCTGAGACAAACCCGAATTTAATTTCAATTGTCATCAAGAATGGGTAACAGGTCGAGTCTTCTTTTGCGCGAGGATGAAATAGCGCAGATACAGAATGCTACTGGCTGCAAGTATCCATATTGTCTATTCACTCCATATACGAATTAATTTAGTCCGTATCAATTTATTTCGGCGAATCGCGCGGCCTGTTTAAGCAATTTCTAACGAGACGAATGTAAATATTAGTATGTAGTATTAGCGCTCCGGTCTAACTCTCTGTTACAGTTACGCCAAATCAAATCGAACGTTTATACAGCCGCTTTACGAGTCTGGACCGTGGAGATTGCGGGACGCTCAGCCGAGAAGATTTTCTCAGGATTCCAGAATTGGCGATAAATCCTCTTGGCGAACGGATAGTAAACGCTTTCTTTGAAGAAAGCGGAAACGACAGGGTGAATTTTCTGCAGTTCATGCAGGTCTTGGCCCATTTTAGGCCTATCAAGAAGAACAGCCCCAATCGATTGAATTCTAGGCAACAAAAATTGAGATGTAAATATTACTGGGTATTAAGATAGCACGTGTGATGATACATTAAAATCAAGATTCTCATGAAATTTGTGAGACGGATTAAAAATTTTATTACACGTTTCTTTCAGTTGCATTTAAAATGTATGATTTGGACAATGATGATTTGATATCAAAGGATGAACTACTTGCTATTTTGCATATGATGGTTGGAGCAAACATCAGGTAAGAATTCTTTTTTTTTTAATTGTTAACCCATTTATAATTGTGATATCCTCTGCATGCATTTCTACAATTGGACAAAACAGATATAAATTTGACAATTTAATAAACATTTATTTTAGCGAAGAACAGCTAACCAGTATTGCAGAACGGACCATAGTCGAGGCTGATGAAAATGGTGATGGTATGATATCGTTTGAAGAATTTTGTAAGGCACTAGAACGTTCGGACGTTGAGCAGAAAATGTCCATAAGATTTCTCAGTTAAATTGATTGTTGGTTTATATAAAATATAATATAGAATTTATAAGTAGGTTTGTTAGGTAATTGTGTTATAAATTTTTATAATTACAAGATTGTGCAATATACAGACATCCATAAGTAATCATAAATAAGTATAACAGATAATAAATCATAACAGTAAACAAGAAAACTATTTGCAATTGAAATTCCAAGATTTATATAAAATATGTATAAAATAAATCTTGGATTTTGCAAGAATTATAAAGGTTGAAAAATAACTGAAAATGAATGTGTGTTGTGTCACACACGCGTGTATATATAATTTCCTGCGAATTAAAAAAAATATATATATTTATATATGAGTAAGGGATTAGAATAGACTAATTTTAATTCAATTGATCTTGTACGCAAAAATATGAAAAAATGTATTTTTAGTATTAAAAGCAAGTAAAAATTATTTTGAAAAATATATCTTTGTAAATATTTCTCTTTTAAAGTTTGTGCTAAGATTACTTTGTACTATTATTGAAATTTATATCGGGAAGAATATATATCTAAAACAGAGTATTTTTATTTTTATTAAAGACCAATTTTTCGTATCAATATAATTGTAGATGGCTATCGAGTTTACAGGTCATATGTGGAATTGCTGCAATATCTTTAATGTACAGATATTATACATAATTACATTATAATAATAACATTTGTATAGTATTGCGTAATATCGGTACATTAACGCACGTCAGCAGCAGAAAAATCTTTAAGAACATTGTATGTTCCTCGGTTTTATCTAAGTTGACTCGCATTAAAATGACAATTCGATGATCGCGCCTTACGCTGAGAAGGATGAGAGGAAATCGGTAACTATTTTCTTCAATTTCGCATCTGACGCTTCACTAATTACATTTTCTTTCGCGATGGTAGCAAGAAGATCTTTTTGAGTAGACCTAAGAAAAAAAATAATATGTAACAAAGCACATGTATATTTAATACATGTTTATAAAACATATAAAAATCACAATATTATATAAATCATATTTAACATGTACCTGATGTGTGCAAGGAATTCTTTTTCAAAGACAGTGATCTTTGTAGGATCCATTTTGTCAAGATAACCACGTACGCCGCAATATATAACTGCTACCTGCTCCTCAATAGCCATGGGTACTAAAAACAGAAACATATCAAATATAAAACAATATGTAAATCGATTTACATATTGCTAATATTGTTAAAATTAAAATAGTAATTTTACCATATTGTCCCTGTTTGAGTAGTTCTGTTAACCTCACGCCACGGTTCAACAATTGCTGAGTTGCAGCGTCCAAATCCGAACCGAACTGCGCGAAAGCCGCAACTTCACGATATTGAGCCAATTCCAATTTCATAGAACCGGCAACCTGTGCAATCAAGTATAATCATAAATATTAGTATTTTATATTGATGTCACATAATTTTTTGGTATTAATTGGATATATTGAAAGATTTACAATACCTGCTTCATAGCCTTGGTTTGAGCAGCAGATCCGACACGTGATACAGACAAACCGACATTGATAGCAGGTCGGATACCTTTGTAGAACAATTCGGTTTCCAAAAAGATTTGACCGTCAGTAATAGAAATGACATTGGTAGGGATGTAAGCGGACACATCGCCGGCTTGTGTTTCGATGACAGGTAAAGCGGTCAATGATCCACCGCCCAAATTTTCGTTCATTTTAGCAGCTCTTTCAAGCAAACGAGAATGAAGGTAGAATACATCGCCAGGATAGGCCTCACGACCCGGTGGTCTTCTAAGCAGCAAAGACATTTGCCGATAGGCAACGGCTTGCTTGGATAAATCGTCGTAAATGATTAAAGCGTGTTTTCCATTATCTCTGTAAAATAATAAGTCTTATGTGAGTTTGTAGCAATAAATTATTACACAGCATGCACAAATTTTAATTAAGAGGCAAATTTTAAATAGAAAAATTAGAATTAAAATTGGATAATAAAAGAGAATACGAGCAGTGTTAAACAAAATTTTGGATAGCTTAGTGTTACGTTTTTTTTTTTGGAAAACAGAAACTTGTAAACAACAAATATATCCACCTGAAGAATTCTCCCATAGCACATCCGGAGTATGGGGCCAAATATTGAAGCGGAGCTGCATCAGAGGCAGTGGCGGATACAATAACAGTGTAATTGATAGCACCGCTGTCTGTTAGACGCTTTACAATTTGCGCAACGGTAGATCTCTTCTGGCCAATAGCGACGTAAATGCAGTACAATTTCTTCTTCTCTTCCCCACCATCATTGAAACGTTTCTGATTGATAATAGTATCAATGGCAAGAGCAGTTTTTCCAGTTTGCCGATCGCCAATGATCAATTCACGTTGACCACGACCAATAGGCACTAAGGAGTCCACAGCTTTGATTCCAGTTTGCATAGGTTCTCTGACTGATACTCTGTTATCCAAAAAGAATTATGTAATGTTACATACATGCTAAGTGTACAATTAGATTAATTTTTCAAAAAAAGAATATCAATTGATTCTTGCATAAACTCTCTCTCTCTCTCTCTCACACACACACACACACACACACACACACGCGCGCGCGCGCGCGCGCGCGCGCGCACAATAAAAATTACAATTAGTTATAAATATGATAAAAGTAGTTATAAATTACCTGGGGATAATGCCTGGAGCTTTAGTTCCAATACGGAATCTTAATTTGTTGTTTAAAGGTCCCTTGCCATCAATGGGATTACCCAAGGCGTCGACGACACGACCCAATAATTGTTCACCGACAGGAACGTCGACAATAGCACCAGTACGTTTGACAATATCGCCCTCCTTAATGTGTCTGTCATTACCAAATACGACAACGCCAACGTTGTCAGGTTCCAAATTCAACGCCATACCCTTTAAGCCTGAGCTAAACTCTACCATCTCATCGGCTTGAATGTTCTTCAATCCGTACACACGTGCGATACCATCTCCAATACTGAGTACCGTACCGGTTTCTTCAAGATTAACCTAAAATCACGCATCTTTAAATGTTTTCAAAGATTATTAATTTTTTAAATTATAAAAACAGATATGTATCCAGAATTAATAAAAAAAAAAGAGATGTTCAAAAGTGTATCATATCAATTTGGATATCAAATAACATGACAATTTATTTCTCTGACGAGGTTGTAGCTCACCTTTGGTGCTGTTCCAAGGATACGCTCCTCCAGGATAGCAGAAATTTCTGCTGAGCGGCGGCTGCAGGAGACATGATATTTGCGGGAAACTATGGTAATCGCAGGCCAATTGATCTGAAGCACGAAAAAGTATACATGTACATGTACCTATAATAATAGTCAAATATTCCGCCGAAATTCTTGTTACATAACTTGCTCTGCTCTAACACACTTTACATAATAACACAATATATCATCAACGTCACTGGCCTCGTACGAATATTAATCGGTTTGTGAATCGAAACGCTCGCTTTATTTCCTATCTACGGTCTTTGCACGATCGAAAACGACGAGAGTGGGACGAAGACTGGAGCACAGGGCGATTTTGACAAAGTGAGAAAAATGTCGACACGTTTCCACCGGGTACGCGGCCACTCGATGGCCGTGAGAGGCCGTATTTAACGAGAAAGAAGGATTCCTCCAATTTACCTGGGCCGTGGTATTCGGCAGATGCCTGGCCAAGGATGAGGCTAGACGTAAGGATAGGAGTGCCATTTTCCGGCGGCCAGGCTATGCGAATTAACGTGAGAGCGTAAAGACGACGACCGATCGACTCGAGAACAGAAGAACGTCCGCCGTATTAACCGTATACTCGACGTTGACTCTCGAGTCTCGTCCAATCCTCCTCCTCCTGTCCACTTCCCCAGCCAGCTGTCCTATCATGCGCACTGCAGGAAATCGCCGGCCATCGATTCGCCTCGTGTCCAACACGAACGTTTCCGATCAATTTTTCGGCACTTCTCAATCCAAATTCATCCGCTGCGCATTGTAAATATGAAAATTACAATTTTTCGTATGCATCTCAATATTAATTCTCGCTGAAATTATGCGATTCTAATCGAGCGAAAAGCGAGTTCCTGTAGCTTTTGCGCAATATACGCTACTGCAATACGAAGCGGGAAATTTGAATGCGTATGCAAACGGATCCGAAGAAATTTTATACGTACTGGTAATTAAAAAAATTGCATACGAATATTAATATTAATAAAAATTAATATAAGTGCTAATAGAGAGAGAGAAAAGATTATTTTTTGCCGATTTTTTTGTCTTACGTAATTATCGAGTGTCTTATTTATCTCTCTTTGCACTTTACTTGAATTTATGAAATATTATTAAGTATATATATATTAAAAAACAAGAATTGGGGAAAAGGCTAGTGAGAATCGAGCGCGGTACTTAGTGCCCCTAAAATGTTTAATTTTTAATAGTTACTTAAGTACAATAGCAGCATTATTGCTATTGTACTTGAGTATAACTATTAAATATTAATAGTAATTAATATATAATATTAATTCTTGTTTTTTAAAGTGCGAGAGTCCGTTAGTTCACTAATTAAGTATATTGCAAACATACCGGAGATACTAAAAGCTTATGTCATTTCTTGAAAGTTGCATCTTAAAGTTGTAATCTAGAGAGATATATATCGGAGCATCCAATTGCATTTTCTATGACTGTATATGTGCGTATGGGGAATGGCTATATGTGACGGTGATATGGTGTTGGGTCTGTTGGGCGGAGTAGTGCGCGGACACTGCGGACTCGGCCGTCGGCATCGACGGTCGGCAGACTAGCGGAGTGTGCAGTGCAGAAGTGGAGAAGCGCCAGCCACAGCCAGGCCACAGCTGAGTGAGGCTAGAAGCGTCATTCAGCGTCATTGCACCGGCGCCAAGCGCTTGGTTATTTCGTCTCGCGTCGATTCGTCGTATCGATTATCCTCGTTTTACCGCGCGTGTGACCGCGGACAGAACTCTGTCCTGTCCCCCTCGAAAACAAACGCACAAATAAACGAGAGTAAGAGCGAGGATTAAAAGTATATGGGCCTCGACGCGTGAAACTGAAAAAATGTCGGCGTCTGTCAGAATTTTATTATTCTCCGTTCTCCTGTCACGCTTGCAAAAATGAGATTCTGGATTTAGCGAATTCTAATTCTAATTGAGTAACAATTAACTGCCCATTACCTGTGATTGTAAAATTAATTAGGCACTTATGACGAGGGAATTGTCGTAAAGATGCATATATATTTCGTATTAGAGTTGATACATATATGTATATGTGTACAACTCTGACATACATATATATATAAAATTTTAGTGTATAGAAGACTGTCTGTTTGTGAAATTTCTCTATCGTATATCAAAGAGTTCACCAGTGTCCAGCAGGAAGTGAGACAATATGGACTCTGCAACCGAGCTGGAACATATAGAGAAGCTGGCCAAGGAAGCAGAATGCTTAAAGAAACGCTTGGAGGATGAACGACAAAAGTTAAACGATATTACACGTAAGCGAATAAATGATTGATTTACGAGTATTTTTGTTTACCAGTGTTATAGTCCTTTATATTCCTATCTTTTACATTCTGTTCTAGTTGCCAGCGTAGCAGACAGACTTGAAATAATCAATTGTATAAATGTAAAACCTAGACGTATCCTAAAAGGGCATCAGGCTAAAGTTTTATGCTCCGACTGGTCTCCCGATAAGCGTCATATTGTTTCTTCTTCGCAGGTAAGTCTTAAACAAAGCATTTTAGTTTACATATTACATAAGTATAGTGTAGTACATATTACTTGGCTTTTAGGATGGAAGAATGATTATATGGGATGCTTTTACAACAAATAAGGAACATGCCGTCAGTATGCCAACCAGATGGGTGATGGCGTGTGCTTACGGCCCTAGTGGCGATTTAGTTGCATGCGGGTAAATTATAATAACTTTATTATCAGAGCAGAAACATTGATTTTATGTTAGAGTTATGCCAGATTTATATTAGATTAGTACTTATGCTATTATAATATCTTTTATACAAATGTTGCAGAGGTCTGGATAATAAAGTTACAGTATATCAATTAAGCTTGGAGGATGATGTTTCGGCTCACAAGAAGACTGTTGGGACGCATACTTCGTACATGTCGTGCTGCGCGTTTCCCAACAGCGATCAGCAGATTTTAACAGGCAGCGGAGACAGCACATGCGGTTTGTGGGACGTAGAGAGCGGACAGCTATTACAAAGTTTTCAAGGACACTCCAGTGACGTTATGTCTATCGATCTAGCACCAAGTGAAACTGGGAACACATTTGTGTCCGGTGGATGTGACAAGCTGGTCTTGATTTGGGATATGCGCAGTGGCCAGTGCGTGCAAAATTTTGAGGGGCATCAATCCGACATTAATTCAGTATGTAATATATTTAAATTATATATTTTTTCAAACTGCGTTGTAATTTTGGTGATTTAAAAGTTATTATATTACTAATTAATATATTTCTCTTATTGGTATGCAATATTTAATATGTTATTATATATATATGTATATATATATATTTGTGATATGCACACAGGTAAGATTTCATCCAGGCGGCGATGCGGTAGCAACAGGTTCAGACGATGCTACTTGTCGCTTGTTCGACCTGCGTGCTGACAGAGAAGTTGCAGTTTACGCAAAAGAAAGTATAATATTCGGAGCAAACGCGGTTGATCTTAGTATAAGCGGACGCTTGCTCTTTGCTGGATATAATGATTACACGGTGAATGTATGGGATACTTTAAAATGCCAACGAGTGGCACTGTTATACGGGCATGAAAACCGAGTTTCGTGCCTAAGGGTTTCCCCGGATGGTACTGCCCTGTCTACCGGAAGTTGGGACGCGACTTTACGAGTTTGGGCTTAGCTTCACGATAACTATTACTATCTTAAACATGTTGAGATAACTCTTGTTAGACAGCACGTAATTGTAATATTTATTATTTTATCCTATATTTATTTAGAAACTCTCTCGCCTTCTCGAGTACTTTTTGTAATTCATGTTTTCATAATATCAAAATGTATATGGTGCATTAAATTGTTGTGCATTCAATAGCGAGCATGCTTTGCCATGCAAATTATTAATCCATCATGTGTAATATAACTTATACAGTAATGTGATATAATATTAATGAAGTTGCATAATATATATACATATATGTATGTAGTATGTGTATATATATTATATGCAATATATATACATATATATTAGGCTGGTCCTAATTTACAGATTATAAATTAAATTTTAGTGAATATATATATATATAATTCTTAGCGAAGCCACAATATGTATGCCACAAAAAATAAAGTATCAGAAATTCAAATCTTATGATCATTATTTATTTTGCTTACTGTATTAGTTTTCTATAAAAATGTATCAACTAGACTAGAGTTTGTATATCCTTAGTTTATCAAATGCATGTCATAAAAATTATTGAATATACTGTGTATATAATAATAGATCTGTATTATTAATGTTATATTTTTACACCTAAAAATAATTAAGTAACATATATTCAGATAACAGAAAGAAAAAAGGAGAAAAAATTGAAAAGAGAGATACAGAAAATGGTATTAGAAAAATAATATCAATAGTAATCACAGCATTTATATGTGTGTAATATATTAAGTGACTACGAGAGTAATGCATTCTTTATGCGGTCGAGCAATCAGTCACTTATACTTTTTCAGAATTAACAAAACTAGTAAGATGTAATTGGCTAAACGTTCTGAGTGCAAAAGCTAATAATTTGTCCATAGGAGAAATTATACTAATAGTTCAAAGTGCAAAGTTCTATATTGTGTATATACTATATATATATATATATATATATATATATATATATATATAATTATTCATAATTTTTTGTAGTTGAATTTTCTTCTGGTTCCTTTCATTTATTCTGATTTAAAGCTTTTTAATACCTAATTATATATCACTTTTATTTTAAGTGCTGTACCGAAGTGATCTCGAACAGCTGGCCACCTATCTATTGTTGTGGCAAATTTCAGTAAATTCTTCGTGGTAACACATGTTTCGTGTACACACATAAGTGCCGCGAACCTGATTTAGCACTTTGCAATTATTAAATCGTTATTAAAAAAGAAAATCTGACATTAATTTAATATTGTATAAATATAACGTATTCAAAAGTCGCAGTTACGGGGAATAAATATGCCTCAGTATACCAGTATGTATTCGACTATCTTGGTGTTTCTAACCTAAAAGCTTATACATTCACATATATATTCAATAATCAAAAAAGTAGGCAGTATTACAGTTTTTTTTAGCCATATATGTTAATATTAAAAATAAGTAAATTTAATTTAATTACAAAAATTGTTAGAGAATGTAATCTTGAAACATATACGTAGTTGTATTTGACAAAACAGTCTTAACAAATCTAATCCTTAATTTGTGTACTGAGTAACTTATAACTGTTTAACGTAATTTAAATCTAGACTCTCTGTGTCTGATAATCTATGTATTAATTTTACTTTATACACGATGTTACTTATATTGTCATTTGTCGTCAAATTTTTATATTTATAAATTATTTAATTAAAAAAAAATTATATTTTGATATTTCCTGTATTTATCTAATTTGTCATATTTCTGTAATTTGTTTGCTTATTCATTTTTCACTCATTGATTATTAATATGTTTCAGTTAAAGTGAAATGGGGCAAAGAACTCTTTTCTAATGTGGAAGTTAATACTGAGGAAGATCCAATATTATTTAAGGCACAGCTCTTCGCCTTGACTGGAGTTCAGCCAGAGAGGCAAAAAGTTATGCTGAAAGGAACGACACTCAAAGATGACGATTGGGGCAATCTAAAGCTTAAAGATGTAACAATAACATAAATAATTATTCTAGCAAGCTTGGCTGACTTAATATATGTTTAAAAGTTTTGCAATTGATTATTGAATTGTATTAGGGTGTCACAATACTTATGATGGGTTCGAAGGAGGAAGACGTACCTACAGAACCAACAGAGAAACCAGTGTTCTTGGAAGATATGAATGAGGCTGAATTGGCTACCGCCTTAGATTTACCATCCGGCTTACTTAATCTTGGCAATACGTGTTATTTAAATGCTACGGTACAATGTTTAAAAACTGTTCCGGAGTTACGAGAAGCCTTGAAGATTTTCTCAGGCGGTTGGACTACAGGTGCAAGCTTATCGATAACTGCGCAAAGTATAACTGCATCACTGAGGGACCTCTATGACAATATGGACAAGGGAACAGCTAAAGCGCCACTTGTTTTGCTGCAAATGCTACATTTAGCATTTCCAAGATTCGCGGAAAAAACCGAGCAGGGAATATTTCAGCAACAGGATGCGAATGAATGTTGGACAGAATTAATTAGGATGTTGCAACAAAAGTTACCTGCAAAGGTTAAACATACGATATGTTCCAGCAACTTTTTAAATCTTTAAATTATCTTATTTGTAATTATAAAAGTATCGCATTGAAATCATTGTATATTTATAGAACAATTCAGATGCATCGGAAGATGATAGTAAAGCTTCTAAATCAAGATCATTTATTGAACAATATTTTGGCGGTATATTTGATTATGAATTAAAGTGCATTGAATCCGAGGATGAACCAGCGACTACTGGAAAAGAAGAATTCTTACAACTGAGTTGTTTTATTTCGACCGATGTTAAGCATATGTATTTTGGGCTCAGGAACAAAATGCAAGAGCAAATAACAAAAATGTCTCCAACACTCGGAAGAAATGCTACTTACACGAAAACGGTAAATTTTTCAATTTTGACGTGTGTATGCGTGCGCGCGACAAGAAAGATGTATGCTTTATATGTACTTTATTACATGTATACTAATGCGCACTCTTTTTTCCAGTCAAAAATTAGCAGGCTACCAGCATATTTAACCATACAATTTGTACGGTTTTATTACAAGGAGAAAGAAGCGATTAATGCAAAAATCTTGAAAGACGTTAAATTTCCCTTGGATTTCGATGCTTTTGAGTTATGTAGTCCTGAACTTCAAAACAAGCTTGTACCAATGCGTGAAAAATTCAAAGAATATGAAGATACCTTGGTAGAGGAGTCTTGTGACGCAAAAGCTACAGATAAGGGAGACAGCGCCAAGAAAGAAATGAGAAAAGAACCATTTTGGTTTAAGGATGGTAAGAGAATTTTAAAAAATTATTTAATAATTATCCCCGTGCTGCAAAAATTTAATATAAAATTGTTGAACTTAATGTATTACGCATATTCTAGATTTGGGATCAAATAACAGCGGCTATTACAAATTGCAAGCGGTTCTGACGCACCGAGGACGTTCCAGCAGCAGCGGTCATTACGTCGGTTGGATTCGACAAAAGGGTGATACGTGGATGAAGTGCGACGATGATGTTGTTACAGCCGTTACCAGCGAAGAAGTTTTAAAGCTCAGCGGCGGAGGTGACTGGCATTGCGCATACGTTCTTCTGTATGGCCCTAGAATTTTGGAAGTGGAAGTGAAGGATACGAAAGATAATCCGGTCGACACAAACAATACTGAAGCTTAACTGATAAATTATAATTGCTTTAAATTATGCTAGACAAGAAATTGCTTGGGTTGCTAGCTCCATACAAATATTCGTTTGTTCTTGTACCAATTTAATATAACAGTGTCATTAAAAAAACATTATTAAATATCACCTACTACACACATACAATATTTGGAATGATAATTTCGTCATATACGGAAAATAACTTGCTACCTACAGTAATTTTTTAGCGAAATGTGAGACAAAAAGGGACGAGTAAATTAGTTATAAATTAATTCCTAATTTCCATTTATATATAAAGTAAACAATGAATGTCAATACGCCGTCGACAGAAGTATATACGTAGACTATAATTATATACATAATCCAAGTACACAGACAATACGAAAGAAGCATTATCGCTTATTGTCCCTTTATTATATGTATACTGCTGTGTAAAGTTTTATTTTACATTCAAGATTTACGTAAATGATAAATAATACTACGCAACTTAGAGCTGTACATTTTAATGGAAAGTATAATGAGACACAGAATGCTCTTTTTAAATCTTAATAATTGCTACAAACGAACTATTTCTTTATCATAAAACAATTTTTTTTGTCAAATTCAACCTTTTTTTATCACATTATTACAATAAAGTTGGGATTATTTTTAATGAGTTAATATGGAACGCATTCAATTTTGAATAGACTTTATTGGTTATTGAATTTATGGGTTATTGGGAACCCTAATATTTTTAGTGGTTCGAATCTTCGCCAAGTGGGGTTTAAAAATCAAAATTCAAATGCGCGAGCGCTATACTGCTCCTCTCTAAAATATGAATTTAGCGGAGATTCGAATCTCACTTAGCGGAGACTCAAACCCCACTTAGCGAAGATTCAAACCCAACTTAGCAGAGACTCGAACCACATTTTAGCGGAGAATTATTGAATTTTCATTTTTCAATTTATATTCTCTCGCTACACTTATAGCGCGCGCGTATTTAAACCCCACTTAGCGGAGACTCAAACCCCACTTAGCAAAGATTCAAACCTTACTTAGCGGAGACTCGAATTATATTTATATAACATGTGAAAAATCTCTGCCATGGGATGCACCCTGACGAGCATGCGTGATATTTAGGTTATCATTTATGGGTGCGTTCGGATTAATCGGATTCTCATTCAAGTGTCACTCAAGTGTTTTTTCCTTGTGTTTACTGAATGTTAAACAAGGATAAAATAATACTTTAAGAAGCACTCGGATGGGAATCCGAACACACCCTGGGAGTGTAGCGAACTTGACGAACTGTCATCAACCGTTAAAGTTGTTGTGAATGATGTTTAAAAATTGAATTAGTTGTTTACATGTGTATGCACTTTATAAGTATACTAATAAAATTTCATCATTTATTTCCTTTATTGTGCCTACCGGTGATTTATTATATATTAATTATTGTAATATATGTATTGTTTACTAATTCAACGATGGAGAAGGAAAGGTTTGTAGAGCATTAACGAATTTTCTATAAATAAAATTATTAGAAAAATGTTCTCGAACTATTAAAATTTATAACTTTTCTATTGTAAAAAACTGAAAACAAATTGTAGAATTATAGCATGTTAATAGTTTTTATCGTTCAGTTATCTTTTTACCTTTTAGGTTAAGAATTTTGTGAGTGAATAATATGAACGTAAATAGAAAATTATTCTAAATCTGTGCAATATAAACGTATATAATTCTATATAACGTATATGTATAATTTGATAAATTTGGAATCTGATCTATACATTTCACAACATGAATAGAAAATTATTTTAAATCCGTGCATTATAAACATATATAATTTGATAAATTTGGAGTACTGATCTTATATACATTTCACATTTCTTAGTTTTAAAACATTGTTTGACAATGTTTTAAATCTGTTAATAAAATATTTTTTAAATCACTAGTTTATTATTCTTTTTATAACGTTGAATAATTATTTTAACTTTTTAATCTTACTTTATATAAGAGAAAAGAATCAAACAAATACGCTTTTACTTTCAAAATATAAGAAAAATAAGATTTGTTTTTTCAAACATCTATTTACAGATTTACAATGCTTCTTTTGGAACCAGGGGAAATATTTTTTGAAGATTACAGTGTTCAGATGAGAAGACTAGATGCTCCATTTTCTGAGGATAAAAAGTGGATGGATGGGAGATTGAAATTATGCTCCAAATCTTTAGTGTTTGTAAATAAGGATATTAACCAGCCATTAATTAAGATTCAACTTAAAGAAACTACATTGATCGAGCAATGTACATTGAACAATGATATAGTAAGGTAAGATATATTTTGGATACAACTAAAAATGCAGGACAAAGAGATATACATAGAACAGAGAGAATGGAAAGTAGATTAACTTTTATATAATCCTTATATTTTGATATTATTACAATTGTTAATTTATGTGTATGTTTGACTTTGTTACAGCAATATGCTCTCAATAGAATGTAAGCAACATGTGGAAATGCTGGAGAAGAATATACTAGCACCATACAGATTTATACATCAAAATACTGTGTTTCACTTCTGTTTCAATTATGCAAAAATCGAAGATTGCCTTTCGCAGATCCTACAGTTGCAGAGAGCAGCGAGTTTAGTAACTGTAGAACAAAATGCTATGGTAAATTTTTTTTATTCATTAGGCATTTCCAAAGAGTTATAGTAAACATCATTAATGTCATCGTAATGATGCTTTTAAGATTATGGCTATTGTACACTCCAGACAGTCACGTGTATCTTTTGATACATCATGGCTTGAAGATCTGTACGAACAAGTGGTCTCGGAGACACAAGCAAATAAAGTATTACCGCTCGTAATAAATCCAGGCAGAGTATTGTTGACCAATTCGAGACTCTACTTTCAACCTTATAATAATATGGATCAGGTAATTATTTAGTTTCATTTATATGATGCTACATATAAGCAGAATTTTGTTAGAAATCTTTTTTTTTTTTTTAATAAAGAAGCGTGAGGAGAGAAGAGAGTTGTATATTATAATTATAGCACTGTTTGATTTTTAGCATCCTGTCCTTAAGATCCAACTGAAAGATATACGGAATGTTATAAAAAGAAGATTTTTGTTACGACAAGTGGTAAATATATTTTATAATCTAATGCTCTATCATGCAATCTTGTATTTTAATAAAATCTCATTATAAAGAGAAGTTTCATTAATAATCCATTTGCAGGGTCTGGAAATTAAGTGGACGAGACAAATTGATAGTAAGATCGAACATTTATTTTTATCGTTTCAAAATCAAGACGGCAGAGACAAGCTATATGAAAATTTACTTAAACAATCGACAGTTTCCCTTGAGATTGTACCACAAAATCAAATGACAATAAGATGGCAAAATGGATATTTATCGAATTATGATTATATTTTATATGTAAATAGGTAATTATTAGGGTTTTAAAGTTGATTATTATTCAAAAATTGTGTGAAATTTATATACCATATTGTTTCAGTTTGGCAGATAGAACATTCCATGATTTGACACAATATCCAGTGTTGCCTTGGATTATACAAGACTATACTTCTGTGACATTAAATTTAAATGATATTAATGTTTATAGAGATCTTTCTAAACCTATCGGCGCATTAAATCTTACTCGTCTAGAGAGGCTAAAAGTATGTATACACACACACACACACACACACACACACACACACATATATATATATATATATATATATATATATATATATATATTAGGGATTCTCATTAAATATTTATAACATATACAAGTTTGGAACGTCTTAAAAATTTTTTTATGTTAGCTCTTTTCTCAATGCTCTTTAACAAGCGCTTCTTGAATTTGAATAAATCTATTATTTTCTATGAACATTGTTTCTATCAACATTGTTATGTTTAGTAATTTTTTCATGCAATTTTAGTTCTTTAGTGATTTAGTGCTTTAGTTATATTATTGTTTTTTTAAACAAATGAAACATAAAAAGAGGACCAATATCTCTTTCATATATTTGTATTATTGTAGGAACGATATTCGGAAATGTCTGATCCGAAGTTTTTATATGGTTCTCATTATAGTGCACCAGGTTTTGTACTATTTTACTTAGTACGGAAATACCCTCAGTATATGCTCTGTCTTCAAAATGGAAGATTTGATCATCCAGATAGAATGTTCAACAGGTATATATCATACTTTTCCATTTAATTCTTTTTGATTTATTTGTTTTAAAACATTAACGAAATAATAACAATGCACATTTTTACACACATGAGGAAAAAAAAGATTTTTATTATGCTAGTAAAACTATAATTTAAAGAACAAGTGGATTACATATTTATTTCATAAGAAAAGAGGCAGAAATAATAAGAAATGCTTCAATTATTGTAAAAAATATATAAATACTCTATCAAATGTGCAGAAACAATTTTATGTTTCACTTTTACCAACAAAAACACCTAACAGTATAGCCGACGTGTGGAAAAATGTTTTGGTGAACATGTCTGACTTTAAAGAACTAATACCGGAGTTTTATGATGTGAGCAATGGCGGTGACTTTCTAGTGAATAATTATGGTATCGACTTTGGTTATCGACACGATGGTACGAAAATAGGCGATGTACAACTACCTCCTTGGGCAAAAGGTAATGAGAGATGCTTTAATTCTAATTATTGTTAATCGCTTATATTACGAATAATCGTTATTATTCATATTCTTCAAGTTAGATAAAACTCTATTAGGAAATACTGTATTCACTATTAATATTCTTGAAATATTTCTTGTGATAAACACTTATAGAGCCAATTATTCTACATTGTTATTTATGTTCGGCAATTTTAAGACAGGATAACAACATTTATATAATTAAATAATTATATGATTGTCATTATACATGTAATGTTACGAATATTTGATATTCAAAATAAAAAAATTAATATTTCACTGGTATATTTTAGGACCAGCCGATTTTGTACAACAATTGAGAAATGCTTTAGAAAGTGATTACGTTTCTCAAAATCTTCATCATTGGATCGACTTAATTTTTGGATATAAACAAAGAGGAGTTGAAGCTGACAAGGCTGACAATGGTGACAATACGACTTTTATATATTTTTACGATACACAGTAAAATTAAAACATTGTCAAAATATACAAAATATATTAGTATGATTGTTTTCAAAAATGTCTACAATGTATTTTTGCTTTCGTTTCTGCAGTATTCTTCCATTTGTGTTATGAAGGAGCAGTAGATTTAGATACTATACGAGATATAAATGACAGACATGGTCTCGAAGTGCAAATAATGGAGTTTGGTCAGATACCAAAACAAGTCTTTACTCTACCTCATCCCAAACGTTTGACATCAGCTCCAAATTTATTATACAGCGAAACATTATTGACTTCGCCAGAATCAATAACTTCAGGTGTTGTATCTTACATACTTTTTTTTTCTTGCTGTTGATACAAATGCGCCTGTATATGGATATAACGTAATATTAATTTTCAATTTTTCAGGCAGTGCATGTGTAAAAGAAAAATCAATTACTTTTACTGAATTAGTAACGTTTCAAGCACATAAAGATTGCGTCACCAGTATTATACGAAAAAACACAACAAGTAACGAAATTATATCAGTAGGTCAAGATGGAATGCTAAAATTGTATAACATAAGCGAAAAGAAACTGACACGTAGTGTTACCTTGTCTCCGTTGTCACTATCATCTTGTATCTCATATTATACGTTATCGCAACGTAACATTCTTGTAGCAGGATCGTGGGACAATACCTTGTAAATATAATAATTATCAAATTCTATACACAATTACAATACGTTTCTTTTATATATGAATCGTATATAATCATTTTTGTGGATTTGATATAGAATATTTAATATACAGGATGTCTCATTTTTATTTTCGCATCGAATATATCTCGACAAGTATATATAAGATACGGAAAAATGTTGCAGACAAAAATTGTACGGTCTGAAGGGGAACAAATAATGGTAAAAATAATTTTCAAAAAACAATAATAATTTTTCATTTTTCCGTATCTTTTATATTTTTTAAAATATTTTGATGTAAAAGTTAAAATGAAATACCCTGTATAAATCTTACATAATTCGAATTTAAAATTATATACATTCTTCTATATGTACGAAATGCATATAGCTTTGCAAACTTTTAACCATACTGTATATTTTTTTAAGGATATTCTATGATATCGAATTTGGCAGAGTAATTGATGTGCTGCAAGGACATGAAGACGCTGTATCGTGTTTAGCATGGAGTTCCACTCATCAAGTGATTATATCTGGCTCCTGGGATTGCACTGCAAAAGTTTGGCATGGATACACTTCTGGATCAAAAATTAAACCTGCGGAATGTTTTATCGCGCAACTAGATCATGACTCCAAAGTAACTTGTATTAATATATCGAGGTAGGATATCGTTTAAATTATGTTATAATACAAAAGGGGGGGGGGGGGATACACATGAAAGTTAAGAACTTTACCTCTTAAATAAAAAAATTAATTTCCGCTTATAATATGTACAGTATATTTATTTCTGTATATTGTGTTGTATCTGTAAATTGAATAAATTCTTGTATTAATTATAGAGACGACACCATGTTGGTATCTGGTACAGAAGATGGCGAATTGTGTTTATGGAGTATGAATAATTACAATTTACAATCTACTATTAAAGGTAAATATTTTCCTTTATCTTTAAGCTATTCTTAAAATTGTTAAAAATAACATGTTAAATAATTATAATTTTATGCAGATGAACAAAAAATTGCAAGACGAGAGTTACATAAGCTTTACATATTTAATAGTTAGACTAGAAATGTATCTATTATTCCTATGAGAAATTTATTATTTTTATAAATATCTGTATAACGAAAAAATAATGTTTACTATGTTTGTGCTGATGTACATCATTTTTCAAATTTTTCAATTCTTATTGCTTTTTAATTATACTTTATAATTAAAAATATTTTTTAGTTAAAACATGAAATAAAAATACTATTAATATCTGTTGTTGTTTGTTGTCTAAAGGTCACACATGCAAAGTAAATGCAGTAACGTTCGATAAACAATGCAGCAGCGTGATATCATGTGCAGAAGACAAAATATTGAATATAATTGATGTTCGAACAAGTACACAGATATATTCCGTCAGTTTAGAAAGTGAACCATTGACGTTAACGTGGATGGGCACGTTCTTGCTGATAGGTGATAACGACGGGAATCTTAATGTATGGAATCATCAGGGGGCTGTATTCATCCCGCAAAAACATTGTCATGATGGTAAATTTGTTGCGTACTGTTATATAATATGATATATTTACTTAAAATAATTTGTTATTTATAGTTATTTAGTAGAAAATTTCGATATATTATTTATTTTGTATTAACTATATTTTCTTTTCATATTTTGTTATAGAATTTATACATACAATTATTGATAATTATAACATACATCTTTTTAGGACCGCTTTGCGCCTTAGCTGTAGTCACTGATAGTAATTTGATGATAACTGGCGGAAAAGATAGAAGAGTCATCGTATGGGAATGTCATAATCACTGACACAGTATTACAAATAATAATTATCAATATATAAGAAGAATTTTATGTAAACAGAATATAGAGAGAATAGAACATAATATTTTTATTACTTATTATACATGAGATACTAGAACTGTATATAACATAAAATAACATATTTATAATGAACTGAAAAAAAATGTTAAAAAATTTAAAAACATGGTGCTTGTAAAAATATCTATAATATAGTATTTTAGGATCGTAAAATTCTTTGATTCTTATTCTAAGTTACCTCGTATTAGATTCTTAATATATATTATAAACACCTTTGAATTGTTAAAATATGTGTACAGTTAAAAGGAACAGAAAAAATTCCTTTTTGTAAATTTGATAACTTTATAACTTCTGAAGTTTTTTTTTTCTTTTCGCATAAAGATATATTTGCGTTTCTTATATAAATATATACTTCTTTTATATTGAATGTAAAAAAATATAACTAAATGTATCAGATCTGTAATATTCTTTTGAAGGAATATAAATTTTTACACTAATTGTAAGGTTAAAATTTTTATGTAATTTATATAATATATTGTATACATATAGTGATATGTAATGTTACATTCCACTTTCCTGTTGCAAAATATTCCTTACCTATGCATTAGTCTTCCCATCTTCACAAAAAAATTAATAACTTCGTATTATGATAAGCTATTGTAATATCATTGTATTTAATACAGAATCATCAAATCGTAAATATATGCAAAATAGGTGTTACTTTAAATTAGGACCGCTATACACAGTATAAAAATTTGTGTATATGTGTGCGTGTGTGTATACGCGTGCGCAATTTACTGTACACACACATACACACAAATTTGTATGCTATGTATATCATTCTTAATTTAAAGTAATACCTATTTTGCATGTAACTTTCACGCACATACACATCAATATATACTTATTTCAGAGAATAAGAAATGAAGATAGTTACATCCGTACACAGAATAAATTATTTTGTATAACTGTTGTGTAAAAAAAAAATTAAGATTGATTAAATTGGCTATTTTGAATTATACAATATCAATATATATGTATTATTCACAAAACCAAATTAATTTTAACTCACAATATCTTATAATAATTTTATAAGAATCTCTGTAAGTGACTAGCGCGTATGCCAGAAATATGACAATAAATGCTATGTAAAATACTGAAGTAAAATAATCCATTTTTATATTCATGTAAATAACAATGACTAGTATTGTACAAAATGTTGCGATAAATCAAAACAAGTACCTTAAACATTTATTTCTACACATAGTATTTTAAAAAACTTTGTAGAATGTTCATTACTAATTTACTTAACATGAACTTTCTATACGGAATCGAATTTATGTGTCAAAATTTTAAGATAATTGAAATAACATACGTAAAAATGTATGAATATGACATATGAACGTTTTAAAATAGTGTATTAAATGTGTAACTCTATGAAATCTAAAATAATTTGTGGAAGCTTGTACTTTGGGAAGCTCTTGAACTTTTCCGATTACTTTCTTTTTCTTATATCTATTTCTACAATTACATTAATCTTGAAAAGTGCTGTGTCTCATTTGTTTATCTACACTAAGTGTTACTTATTTTATATCGCATTAAGGTAACTAATTAACAGTCACTTTCACAATCAACAAATTGTATACAGTTAAGATTATCAGATAATAATATTAAATACATAATGTAATGTTGTTTATACGTATTAAAACATATTTCCAGACCTTATCGTGGTGGAAGAATTTAAATATTCAATATAATAACGATGCATCATAATTGTTTTAACTGCTCATAGGTAATAAAAAATATAATATTCCACGGTCCCATTCTGAACAACGTCGGGATAAAGCCTTTGTACAGAGCTAGAACTCCTTCATTTTTAATTGTCTATATGGAAAAAAATTATTTTTCTTAAAAATAGATATGTATAGACGAGATGTATAATGTACGTGATGTCTTAAAAATAAATATAGGTATTTGAAACATGAAAAATATCTTGAATAAATAAAACTTATCTACCTGAAGCAAGCAATCTATACTGCCACTGTAAATATATGATGAAGGCTTGGTATCAGCTATACACATTCTCCTTTGATTCATCAATCGGGTCTAAAAGAAGAATATTTAAAGAAGATATTTAAAGAAAAAATATTAATTATGATCAACTTAATGCTACAAATGTTTTAAAGTATTCTTTGATTGATCAATTAATAAAATTTTTTCTTCTGATTTGTCAATCAAACATTGTACTTGGAAGCATTTGTAGTGAAACTTTGACCGCACCCAATATTGCACAAATATAAAATAATCTACTTACGCGAATTACGTCTATAGGCGTTGAAGCAACAGCACTTCCCATACTAGCTACAAAACTAGATCTAAAACATATAATTACAATTAAATACATTCACTTTAATATACTTATAAGTTGTAACTTAAGTTAATTAAAAATATTTTTAAATTATGATTTTTAATTATTATTTGTAATTTGCTTTAGTAATAATATTTGATTTATTTTAAGATTTTGCAATGTCAAATTTTATATTATAAAGCAAAATTAACCCTTATCCAGGCATTATAGAAAGTTAAGAATGCATAATACCATGTCTGTGCGATGATGGTCGATATTTTAATAGAGCAGAAGTACGTTTCCAAACACGAACAGAAGTATATAAAATGGGATTTTTTTTATAGTAAAAAAATTAGAAAGTTATACGATGGATAAGTAGTATTTTAGAAAAAATCTTTCCAAAGCCTAAAATGCATAAATGCTAATCAAAAGATCTTTGCAAGATTTAATAGTTTAACATTTATAATCATCTGGACGATTGTCTTAACGATTCTTGAACTAAACACAGAGTGCTGAACACAGCTTCCGTGTCAAGCCTCTCTGGTCATCTCAAAATCCGTCTATCGCATGTGCCCATACGCGTGACAATGTCAAAGGACCTGGAAATAAAATTTCAATTTTAGGAGAGTTTTACTCCTTTCTTGCGATAATGTGCAACACATGGAATACTTCGAAAATCGCGCAATTATTTTTTTAATCGCAGATACTAAAAATTGTATTGAAATTAAAGTGTCAGTTATTTCAAAATGGGATTAATTTCTATATTAAAACAGAGATATTTGTGATATTAATTATTTCAATATTAATATAAAAAAAATTTCTTGACAACTACATTGCAAGCGGAATTCAGTTATTGCTCTGTTCCAAGTGCATTTTAACCACTTCACTTAATTGATACTGACAATTCAAGAGATTATTAACATTAAAAATTAACATTTATATTTTTAAGATATATATAATAATAAATAAATTAAAATGTATGTCGTTTAAATATAAGTGCAATATATAAAACACACCTCTACATAAGCTTTACGAGTGATTAACACTATTTTAAGCAACTGTGAACTAATACACAAAAAAAAATTTAAAGTTTAGTTGTCAAAGATTGTAAGGTATGTTAGAATGTATAGATAAGCTAAAACGAAATGTATCATATTTATGTATGATATAAATTGTTGCTAAAATATCGACAGAAATCCACACTTAATAAAAAATACATAACTCTAATACATACTCTTGTGGAGCACATGTTTTAGAATAAAAATTAATTATTACAAGATTTTTTTATAAAAATTCTCAAATATTTTTTCTTTTCTTTCCATCTTATTTCCAATACTTTTTTATTTTTCATATTTTATAAATATTGCTCATAATAATTACGTTTTTCTTCTTTAGATTCATATTTAATTTCTCACATCGCAAACTATGTTCAAAAAATGTTACATAAATTGACCAGAAACTTTGTTCTATTTTAATATGCAATATATTATCTTATAGTTAAATGATTATATGTAACTAATCAGAGTTTTATACACATGTATATGTATAATAGCAGCTCACAATTATTAATCCTGTCTCAAATTTTAAAATAAAATCGTATTTTTTATATTGCAAATTACCAATACTTTAAAAGGAATAAGCCTTTCAGCTGTCCGGATAAGGGTTAATTGATTCTGATAATTAATAGTGTAATAAATAACATATATATTAATGTATATTAATAAATATCGAACTTAAACAACATTGGTAATGAATCTTTCATTTCTGTAAATAAGTTTTTCTTCGTTAAAAAGTATATTATTATAGTTACTATAAATTTAAAAATAGTTCACCATTATCAGTAAATATATTTTAAATATTTACGTAGATTTTACATCTACATAAATAATAAATTTAGTTTAGTGACAAAAAACTTACACAAAATGATTACTAACGCTATTTCCCAATACACTCATACATTTACTCTTGGTATAGTCATATATAGGTAATTCTACAGCCGCAATAACAGCCGCTCTTTGAGCAGTCGGTCCAACACCCTGTATAAAGAAATCATTCTTTATATAAATATTTATATTAGAATATAAAAGTGTGTGTGCGGGCTCAAAAATTATTAAATCTAGCTAGTGTGGTAAACAAATAATCAAAATAATAATTCTTTCAAACTAAAGTATTTCTTTACTATAAATATTGCGACTTCTTGCATCAATTAATATCAAGAATAAATTTGTATGTTTCTAATATCTATAATATTCGATTTTTATCTCAAGATATGATTTTTAAAACAGCATATATGCACACGTATGTATGTACATACATAGTATGACAACATATTAAAATTATTTATATTACCCTCCAAAGTCCGCGAATACCTTCATGTTGATATACATCTTGAAAGCAAGTAAATAGCGACACATTTGTTTCATTGCCGGTGGCTTGCATACGAACTTTTATTACATCAGTGGGATTGGCAATTGCGCTTGATACAGCTCCAGCTAATGCTGCACAAACAATGTTTATTGTGACTAAATCCCCCGTTGCCCAGGCATCAATTGCAGCCTTTTTGAGTGAATAATAAGATCCAAATTTTATAGTTCCATATGTTGCTTGTCTTAAAATCGCAGAACTAATCCTATATAAACAATATAACAAGTGAAATTCATTTAAAAAGCTTGCAATACATTTAAGATTTCAAAAGTAATTGCAAAATTGTATTAATAATATTAAAATTTTTAACTTTTAAAAGATAAAAGATCGAATAAAGACAAAAATTCATTCATTTGATATTTCTACGTATTCGAATGAAATATATAGCTTTGACTGTCATATTTAAAAAAATATATAATTTAATAACAATTGATAATAAAAACTAAAGCAAACTTTAATATTAAACAACAATATTATTTCTTATAGTTAAACACTTACCCAGAATATAAACCTTTTATTCCTTCTTGTTTAGATATTTGTAATAGCGCATCGGTCATGCCAGAATATCTTAAACGTGCGAGCTTTTTGTCATACTTCTGGCCTTGTACTTGCAAACGTGTTTTAGTCGTATCTAAAGGAAAAGTACCTGGAGGGAAAGAAATGCAAATCACTTTTTATTACAGTACGTGTGCATGTACTGATACTAATCCAAAATATTTTTTCAGACAACAATATAAGAATTATTTTTCATTTACTTACACAGCTCCGCGACAATCGAAGCTAAACCTCCGTAAACGAAAGGTCTCCAATCTTTCCAATTTCTTTCTCCCATCACCAGCTTTGGTCTATTTAAGAGGGCAAAGACGGCAATGTAAATGTGATAGGCTTACTAATACGGATAACATAAATCGTTAAGTTTTAGAAAAATAACCGACATAAAAGAAAAAGATATTTTACTTTTTTCTTTCTTCTCATATATATTAACGTTTAAGTGAATAATTTGTGCAATGGAGAGATGGTAACATACTAGTACATAACGTATATCTCAGGCTAGTTTTAATTTTATATCATTTCGTCCTCTATGGAGAATTCACGTGCAAACGAATTTACAAAAATCAGAAAAAAAACCTGAGAGAGAGGACATGACGGCATGTAACCTCAAAATGCTCTCGTGCCCGCACTAACGCCCCCTGAAGAAATGGATGAAAACAACATAGCAACATTCAGTTTTCTGCAGTTTTCTGCACCGTGGGTATACAATTTAGTGGTGCGTGTCGTGCTCGATATGATAATTATTTAAAGAGTATCTCGTCGGTGAAATAGAAACAGTCCAGGGATATATAAATATAAAATATTAATTTTAGAAACTTATAATTAATTATTTAAAATAAAATATCGCAGGAGCCAGTAAAAAATTTATACAACTTATTTAAAATGAGAAATATAAAATATATTTTCAAAAACGTATTTAAAATATTAAATAAGAATTAGATTAAAAGAAGTTTTAGAATAATAAATACTAAATAATTCTTTTACTTTTTTTTATTTAAAATACATATTTTAAATAATAATATTATAAATACGACCGATCCCTGGATATAATATTATATCATATACAATATAATTGTATTAAAATCTTTAGTTTAAAAAATATATATAATTATAATTTATGTAATATGAAGTTTATGGAATATGAAGCGAGAAATAGAAAGAAAAAGAAAGAAGAATGTGGCATAATGTATAATACACGATTAGCACGGACACGAACCACGTTCTAATACTATGATTTGATCGACATAATGTTATAAGATAGACGTGGTACGTAGTTCCTTTTTTGAAAACGTGGACGTGGGGCGCTAGTGTACGGGGGAGATCGCCGGTTCCACCCAAAAACCCGGCGTGGCCTCTCTCACGCTGCTCACGCTTCTCTCTGGTAACAGGCAAAGGGTGTCATGTTTTCATAGCACGATGATCTTCTCTATTTCATAGTCCACGGTATCTCCGCCATTTGCGATCGTCCATTGCATTCATTTGCGTTTCGTTTCGTTCGCTCATCGTTGCCGATCCTTCCCGTCAGCTTTTCTCCATATCACGCTTAGCGTCGCCGCTTCGGTAAGTCAGACTCGAAACTTTTGCCGTGACGCCACGAGCTCCGGTGTCGCGAATCATGATAAATCGGAGCTCGTTTAACGATTACTTCACGGGTGCGAGGATCGGGTACGCGGAAATCGTGAGTTTCGGACGCTCCGGTCAGGCGTTTGTTGTCCGCCACGTCGTTTCGCGGACGTTGCTTGGAGCAAAGTAGTATAATAGTATTACTTATCTCCGTGTTACTTATCTCCGTTATTACGTTTCTCAAATTATTCACGGGATTCTTTCTACTTGCTACACGATGCTGATTTTTAATGATACGAGCTCCGTTTAATCGTTCGTTTTTACACACGCACATACATCCACATACATACCGGTACATGTATCATTTTGCTCCGTTTTAGATTCCTTCCCTGTTAATGCAATTTTGTATTATGTAAACAAGATGTGCACGTAGAGTATATATTTATAATTAGAATTTAAGATATTTTGAGCTCTAATATATTGTAGATTTCCATAAATAATTATTGTAAATAATTATTGTTATTTAAAAGAGAGAAAAGAAAGAAAAGAGAAACTAAATCAAATAAAGACTAAATTCTTCTAAAACTAAAAACCGGGATATCCCGCACAGATTTGCTTTTACAAGGATGGCATCCAAGATTAATTGTTTTCAAATGTTGGCCAGCATTAGGAGCACAATGTCATTCAATCGAGGAGTGAAGAGAGATACCTTCGGGAATCGAGGGAATTTCAATCGGGGCGGCAGCGGAGGAGGCGGCGGTAACCGAGTTGGCAATAACAGCGGCATGGGAAGTAACATGGGCGGAGGAATGAGCGGGAGCGGCGGTATGGGCGGAATGAATCCCTGGGAGGGCGGCATGATGCCCGGCAGAGGCATCCTTCCTACACCCAACAACAACCTCTCCCTGGCATCGCCGCAGGCGCAGCTAGCAATCGCCAGCAATCTTCTTACGAATCTACTTCGCAGTCAACAAGAGGCGCAGCCCCAGGTATGAGAAATCGTTTCCGCTACACCCGCTACGGTAATGCCCGCTGTTTTTCATGCCTCTCTATACTCACTTTTTAACTCGTCTGATTTTTGAAGCAGGTGCCATCTCTCATGAGTCTGGGAAATAATTATTCAGGGCCAGGACCGAATTATCCCAACCAACAGAACTATTCCTCCGGACGGTTTAACGATCGACCGGCGCGACATCCCATGAAGAACCAACGTCCTCAGCCGTACAATAAGGTAAGCGATTTCGATAGAATACGCGACGCCTTCTCTTTCTCACGAAAACCAAGGTAATCCTTTGAAACAATTCTTTTAACACTTGCTTACGATCTTCTTCTGCATCGTAAACAGGAGTTATAAAATGACAATCTGTAGTCCACACATGGACATAACTGTCTTTAACTATTTCGAACATTTATAAATTCCCCTTCTTGAGAACCGATCGATTAAATAGGATATATCGCTTCACTCGATTAGACACGGCCGGCGAAATCACAATAAGATATAAATAATTCTTGTTGATGGATCAGCTTTGTCTGAAACGGCTTCTAAGTATCGTCCATAAAAATATTTCATTAAAAGAGCACTGTTGAAAAACGTGTGTTGATTTCAGACTGTAAATCTCAATTTACTACTGGAAGTTCACTGAAGGTTTTTGCAGGACCGCATTTAACATTTGCTTCACATTACAATCTGTATAACCAGAGAGAGAGAGAGAGGGAGAGGGAGAGAGAGAGAGAGAGAAAGAGAGAGAGAGAGAGGGCTTCTGTCCACTAGTGTGATATTAAAATCAACGTGGTTGCACTTTATTCAAAACTACTACTACCACTTATGTACACGAGTTGCGTTTTTTCACTTGATTTAACTTCTTCTTCACGTTCATTAGCATTTCACCGAGTTTTACTCAAGTATTTTTAGTAGCAAAAAAATTACGTCTACTTTTTATAATTATGATCGTATCTTATGATCGTTGCGATCGTACCTGTATATACACGATGCGTTTTCAACTCGAAATCGGGATGCACTCTACAGTTTTCCCCCTTTCCTTCCATACTTGGGAATGTGGAAATGGAAGAAAGAGCTTCGGTATTTCACCGGCTCCGTCCTGCTTCCATTTATCGAACTGTAGAATTGTTCTCTGCCTCAAATCCCAAGTGGTTTCTAGAACCAGTGTCTCGATTTGAGAAGAATCACAATTACATCAGATACTTCTCATGATGCTTTTTGGTCGTTTGACCATCTACTACTTAACTAGATGGGCAATCGAGCCCGAGATGGCCCCGCTGGGCGACGTGGCCCATCCGCACAACAATCTCGTGCACCCCAGTCTGGCAGTCAACGTATGAACGGAAACCAAATACAACATCGCAACGATAAATCTTCTAAACCAATTCCTGCCTCTAAACAAAATCAGACTGCCAAAAAGGAACAGCAGGATGTTAAGACCTCTGATAGCGAAAAAGCAGAACCGCCTGTTCCGAAAAGGTAAGCTCCCGATTACCTGTGATTGGTATAGTTTCTTCAAATTTCAGTAAGTCTCAGTCTCTCCGAACTATTTGCCTAAATACATATACATACATATACATGTGTTTTATATGCGTTTCTTAATATTAGCTGTATATGTTTTGTAATATCAATCAAAAAATTTCTCTCTTATCTATATCTCTTTCTTTTTATATGTTTATCCTATAATGCGATTCAACTAATATTTCATGGACATTGACCAGAGTGCTAAAATTTTACTGTTGCTTTTCTTCCCTATACATTCATCAAAACGCATTTTGATGTATCGTGTTCCAATCGGCGATAATATATTATCCTAGATTCTAATAAGATGTATGAATTACGTCTTCCTATATACTTCTATACAAAAATATCGATATAACTTTTTTTTATTCGCAAACGGGATTTTATATGAATCATGATATAAAATACTGTCACTTGCAAAATTACATAATTTTCGTCATCGGAAATTAAAGTTTCATAATAAATTTAATATGCTCAACTCTGTTTTTCAAATCGATTGCAAAACTTTTCTTGGGACAAAGTTTTATCTTGGATTATTTGTGATGAACAGCAATGATACAGATGAATCCGAGGATAAGAAGCGCGATTGGAAGGATGAGAAAAACACGGAAGATATAAAAGTTGAAAAGATGGACAGTGAAAGTACGGAAGATAGCGAGAAAAAGGTGGACAAGTCTGCTGCGGAAGATTCTTCGTCGAAAGAGACAAAAGATGGATCTGAAAAAACTGAGAAAGAGAACACGAAAACGACTGGCAAGAAATCGGAGGCTAGACACGCCGAAAGTCGTTACGCCGAAGTTCCGATGAACCATATGTTTTGTCACATTTGCAATAAGCATATGTGGGATGGATTTGTATGTATCATCGACAAGGCTAACAAAATCTGCGTAATCACCGAGTATTAGTTAATTTTTATATTTTTTCATAGTCCTTCGAGAATCACCTACGCGGACGTGCGCATCAGCTGATGATGGAAAAATTGGACGAGTCGTACAAATTGAAAGTCGATCTGATGAGACACGAGCTGCGAGTTGCTGAGGAGCAGCGAGAGCTTAGCCTGAACAACTCTAAACGACGCGGCAAAAAAGTAAGAGTCATGTCTCTTAGAAAAGAATCGAATACACATACAGATTTGATGGTAAGAATATTTGTATTAATTTATCGTCTCTTGATTGCAGGTCTCTGTAGATTTTAATGTGAGAGAATATTGTACGATGTGCGATCTGAATTTTTACGGAACCTTATCTACACACAGGAAAGGCGAGAAGCATCAACAATTGAAAACATTCTTGCATCCCCGATGCTTCCCGTGTTTAAAAGAATTTCCGTCTCGCATAGAATACGATGAGCACTGTTTAACACCGGCTCACATGAAGAATGCCGTTCAATGCGAGGAGCAACGGAAAAATAAGAAGAAAGGTAAGGAAGAGAAAAGCTTGAGAGAAAATGTTTTCGAGTCAATTTTGAAAAGAACTTTTAATTGGGAAACTGTGTTTATAGAAAAACTGGCAAAGGGAGAAGCTGAGGTTCGCACCGCAGAAGACGAGGAGAAAGATGTTTGTCATGACGTGAAAAACGAAAAGGAAGAGGATTCAGGCGAACAAGAATACATCACGGATATTGTAGAAAATATAACTGAGAAGAAATTCAAGATACCATCTTACAAATATTGCCGTCAAAATCAGATCTTTATTGGTATGGATTATATGAGATTGGAAAATTAGTTATAATTTTATTGTTGCTTAATTTACATGAAGTAAAAAAAAAAACAATACTTGCACGTTTTTTTTTTGCACGAATATGCTATCTTTACAAGAACTTGTATATGCTCAGGTAAATCAATGGTCAAGGAGGTTCAAGGATTTTACTGCGAGCGTTGTCGAAGGTTTATGCTCTTGGCTGAGGATATGAACGCTCATCTGCGCAGCATCACGCACTATCGGAACTTTGTAGCGGAAGTAAAATCGTTAACGTCGACCGCGTCAGCTGCAGAGACGAAAGAAACTGAACAAACTGACGTAAGCGATTATATCCTATAAAAAATATTGCCGCAAAAAGAGTTTATTTTCAATATATATCAAAATTCTTGCATTATGTTTATAGAATGAGAAAAAAGTCGAAGTTAAGGAGGAATGCGATACACAGTGGAAACGTCGCAAGATCAGTCACGATGAAAGTGAAAATAATGACAAGCCGAAGGAGCAGCAAGAGAATAGTGCTGACAGTAGCGCGCATGTGGCACCGAAAAGATCGGATGGTGAGGAAAAATATGATCCGTTGGAAGCCGATGCAGCCGAATCGGAGGAGGAGGAGAATCGCGAGGCGGAGGAGGACGCGAAGGAGACCACCGCGGGAAACGACGCAATCACGCAGGATATAAAAATGGCAGTCGATGATGTGTGGACGGATATGGATAATGACAACGATGTCGAGATGGGTAATCTGATCGACGAGGCAGACGAAAAAGAACCCGAGAAATCTACGCCGAAGATAGAACGAAATCGTAGTCCTCAAGTGAAGTCGCCTAGAGGCCGCGGATTCACACGCGGTCGCGGTGGTCCGCGTGCCAGGAGATCCCGGCGATAAGGTAAATAACACATCCCGCGATTTACGGAAATATGAAAGTAAACGCGAATAGCGTTTGAAGGATAACGTTGATATAAGGAAAATTCAATTGCGTGTTTCGTATTCAGATTCAGAAGTTGTAACGGATAGAACACGTTTTTATCATTGAAGCGTGTGATATTAATATTAATATTGCACATTATATTAGCATTACATGTGAACATAGTAGTAAGTTTTTAATTACAAGTTCTTAATTATAAACGACCTATTTCACCTAGAAGAGAATGTGTGCGCAGATCAGATTCTTTTTTTGTATAAATGGACTTTTAATTATAGATATGGTAACTTTTTTCATACTTTAACATCATTGTTGACGCTATATAAATGATGAAAAATTATTGGATATTACACGTAATTGCGAATTTGATTAGGGGAAATTGAATGTGTATACGATATCCAGAAACAGTAAGTTATTTGAATTGTAAGCAAGGAAGTCTCGATCGAAATCTAAGCACACATCCAAAACGATGATATATGTAATCGAAATAATATAATGTCGAATTAGATAATTGTCTCTTTGTTCTCCGTATAGTCCCATAAGGATATATTCTTACATCATTTATCGATATGGTAAAAGGCTATAAAAATTTGTAATCTCATTATGTTCCTAAACGAGGATAAACGAGTTCTCATTATTCTTCAACATTCGAATTCTTTTACTGAGAATAATTTTTCACTGTAACATTTACGTATCTAAAAGAATGCTGAAAGTGATGTTATTATAGATTTTCAATTTTGTATTTTACTTTAATCGCATGCGTGAGTGTCGTGATCGTTTTCATAATAAAAGAAATAGCGTTTCTATGTACGACGAGACTAATTAATTGTGCATTCTCTTTATACAAGGATAGGACATTCTGATGAAGGATCTTTTTGTATCTATTTTAAAAATATGCTATAAATTAAAAAAAATTTAAACCCAATATGAAATCAACATTTGAACTGTTACAAACGAATGTGTATGTTGGGAGTGATAATTGGATAGAAATGTGTTAGGCGATATAAACACATATGACATTAGAAGATAAGTCGTAATCACACATATGTACTGTATGTGTAATATATTAAATGGACAGTTTATTAAGAATTCAATAGAAACAATCATGTATAATGCAATATCTCCTAATTTTATTAATCCTTGGAAAGATGAGTCGACAGAAATTCATCTACGGAGTCTGTATCCCACTTGTGTATATCGAGTACATCTTCAATCTTATTTTCCGCATCGTACAACTTAATGATTGGGTCTAAACCTCTTACGTATTTTATACTGAGGTTCTTGTATTTTTTCGGTCGATCGCTTTTGATAAAGGCTAAAAGAAATGTATTATTTCATCAATTGATATTTTGTGTCGTCCACATCGCATCAATTGGTTCTTGATTTTTATCAGAAGTATCTGATCGAACGGATACCTTGTATTTGCGGATACTGCCCAAACTTGCATGTGCACACTTCAAGGACGGCTTTGGGATAGCGTTTCGATCCGGACAAGTCGTAATCGTTATCTTTTAGACAACATTCCTTACATGTAGCACTGAAAATTAGAAAGTAAAGGGAGATTTATATACGATACACTCGTGGGAGACTCGCAATGAACATATCTGACAGAATGGATTTTTACGTACTAAATTTTTTCTAAATCAGACTTGGCAAAATGTTCGCAAGTCGAGCAGAGCACGTTGGCTTTATTGAATCCTAGCATCTTGCAATCGTCCGCCGAAAACTCTGCGACGGTAATGTCCATCTGTAAAATTAATTGTTTGTCAATGACTTTGACGAATATCGCAGTGTTTTGATCTTTAGATTAAATGTTGTACACATGTAATTATGTTGCCACTTTTAAATAGATGAAAAAAACGAGACTTTGAAAAAAAATTTGAATATACGTCAGTTTGTTATAGAGTCATATTTTTCGTTCTGATTTTATTCATGTAAAAACTCATCGAATGAGCCTAATTTCATTAAAATCAGGAGTGAGAATTAAATTAAATAATTACATCTCTGTTACTTACCCCAACAATAAACAAAAATAAAACCGTGTATGATAAGTGATTCATTCTGTTGCCACGTATGTTTAAATTAACTGAATACCAATATTTTATTGCAATTTTCGTCCTTTATAGGGGATCTTGTTAAATATTTCTCGCTTTTGACTATCTGTTTCCTTTGAGACACAAAGCACACCTTGTACAATAAGTTTAGTTCTTGCAAACTATAAAATTCTTTTTTCTTAAGGACAAATGAATACTGTCATTGAAATTTTCATTAACCGATGCAAAACCGACAGAACAGAATTACAGCCCGGCTTTAAGTTTGTTCCCTTGACATTGTCCTCCTTTAAAAGATAACCACTACGCTATTCAACCTCTCACTGCACTTTATTAATGAGCAATTATGACAATTTTTTATAGCTTAGTGTCTTGATCGATCTTTACTCGAATTTATGAGAATTCTCTCCCTTTCGATTACACGTCTATGATGAATACAACTATGATTTTTTTTTTTGAGGTTAGGAGGGTTAGGGATACGTTTAATATCAGCGCCTCTATAGGCACGTTCGGATCAACAAAGTTATACACACAGTTCGGAAAGCAGTCACGCCGGTCACGCGAGAGGTTATACACAGTTCGGGTAGCACGCTGTAAGGCGCTACCGCGGCTGATTCTACTCTCCTTATTCATAGACGTAAACAAGGACAGAAGGACGCGACAGCGTACGTGCCACCCGAATGTCCCAAATGTGAGAATTAAAACGCGCACCTTGAACTGGCTTCAACTATGCAGCCACGGATATTTTCAATACATTAGATATGGTTTTCGATTTTTTCTTCGCGCGATTTAATATGTGACGGAACGCGCGCGCAGATCATGTGTAATTTATAATAATTAAAGTAACGGAGTGCCGGTTGCATTCGCATCTCGCGGAATTTACGCGTGCTCGAGTGTTATTTTCGGATTGTTAATTCGTTTAACTAGGCGTTAATTTTGCATTATAACTATCGGCTGCAGGGAACGTCGCGCAAAATATACCGCGCGATCGTTATCCGCATTTTCGTGAGTCGAAGGAGTCCTACTGACGACGCGGATTATACAGCTTGAGATAATTAAAGTGGTAAGTGCAATTGATTTATATATATGTTTTGTGATGTGCGTCCCCTTTATAATAATCGAATCGTGTATTATTATTAAATTCGAATGATTAAAAAAATAACAGAATATAAATCCTGTTTTCTTCTAATTAAAAACTATACGGAAATATCGAGGAAGAGAAACGGAATAAAAAGACTGGGTGTATCAAAATCTATTTAATACAAAACAACAATGTCGGCGAAAACACATTTATGAATAAATAAAACTGTTCCTTTATATACACAATTGAATTCGCCGTGTGATTTCTCTGCAATACAGGATATTGTATCATTGATATGCTTGTCCATTTCGCAGAACGTCCAGAATTAAGCCATTATCCTTTTTTTCTCTATTTAAAAATTTTTTTTTATTTATGTCTCCATCGGTAAATTGTGTTTGCTGAGTTTGAAAATGACTTTATATCTCCAGCATCTCTCTTCGTTAGTCTATTTCAGTAATGCACTGTACGATATCGAAACATTAGAAGCATTGAGAATATTCGCGCGTTTTGATTTGTAAATTTGCGCTCATAATTCTCTTAATGATGCTCCAAGTTCTGTCGCGGATTACGCAGTCCTACGTAATCATACCCCACGTTTAGCGTCAAATACGGCCGATCCGTAAATTAATTTGTATACGTGAATAACGTGTACATACAAGATATAATTATCTTGTATAAACAAAAATATGTAGCGGTAAACGTGAGATTTGATTATTAAAAGCGTCTTCGATTGTAGAAATGATCTATTTTAATATTTTCTTCCAGAGTTCTTTTCAAGATTAAAGAAGTTAGATTAAAATGATTGCGAATCGGACAAAATGTTCAATTTTTTTCGACGAACATAATTGTCGATCGTTAACAGGGGAGGAGGCGTTGAAATCCGCGTTTTGAGCGCGACGACATCGTGAGTATTTTTAATAATTTAACATCACAAATTGAGTTTCACGTATTTGCACTTGGGGTCCGTTTTCTTGTTTTAACCCAGTCCTAGGACGTACTTTGGTAAATTGTACGCGAACCTAGGGATGGCCATAACCACGGACATTCTGTAAATAGAAGAATTTTCGATTACAATGGCGTTCATTATACGTTTACCTATTATTTAGCCGCCAAGTTTAATAAAAATGGGAAAAATCAATGCATTTAATGAGAAACATCGGAAATTATTCTTTTTTTTATTAAATGAAAATAAATGATAACTCTTATTGTATACACAATAAAACTCTTTTTGCATTTGCAAGTTTTTTAGAATGCAAGAATCAAACGTTCAAAATTTTAAATTTTGTACGCTTATTCGAAATAATTGTGATACAAGTGAAAGATAGTGCAAATTACTGCGGCTCATATAAATATTGATCTATCGGGTGAAACAACTAATAGGCATTACAAATAAGTTGATATATTTGACACAACAATAACTTGGTAACTAAAAAAGCAACATTTGTACCAGTCGCATAAAAATATTTAATTTTAACAACGACGCTTATTTTGTGTACACACTTTTGTTATTGAGATTACTCAGTATCGGCTTATATTAACTATAATAGCAGTAGTGCTAGCAACTAGCCCGCTCTCACGGACAACAACGTTGCTAGTAGTGAAGATTAATCAGTTAATTAATTTAAAACAAATTTCAAGCTTGCGAATAGGCAGAATCTGTAATGTAATTACTGAAGGTAGTTTATTTACACGCGGAAGATAAATCACCAAATCGTTTAATTCAATATTAAATAGATCGAAAATGTTAAAACGCGTACAGCATGTATTTTTTTGCAAACGATTGCTATCTTGGAAATTATGCGGCTGGTATAACATGCAGAGTGTAAAATTTATTTATAATTTATATACACATAATCGCATGCTACTTACAATAGTGCACAGTGTAGAAGACAAAAATGTCAACCATCTGTTGTTACTCTCCACCACCAAATAAGATTACTACGTTTCTAGATATGTACAATAATAGACGAATTAATTAACGTTTTCGACAAGAGACAAAGAAACGCCATGGGACGGGATTGAAGGGAGGAAAGTATTTTTGCACGTTTCGTTAATATTCGTTATGCGCGATTCTGCGTGATGCTGAAATTAATTCAAGTGATTAAAAGGTATTTACAGTAGATCGAACAATCCCAACACCATCTCTATATATTGGTTGGTTTATTGGAAAAATTGTCATGTTAGGGAAAAATATATTTATAACATGTGTATACAACGTTTCACAGTAAATATGGCATGAGATTGAAATCGTAACGTGATAATGGTTGTTTTGTGAAAAATTGTCATGTTAGAGGAAAATATAATGCGTATCTATAACGTTTCAGTTAATAAGATATGCAATTGAAATAACGTAACGTGATATCTCATAATTATGAATTTTTTCTATTTATTTTCTTTTTTTGATATGGTCGACACTCGAAGGAGCTTGCATAAAAACATGGTTGAATTACGACGCGATACGTTTCGCGAAGAAAGCTCTGAAACACAAGAAAATAATTGAATATTTTTCTTTTTTATCACACTTTTCACTTGAAGAAATTAGTTTTTTCAATCTCTCATGCAAATGTTACATGATGCGTCGTATGTTAAATCAATTATAGAAAAAATAACTCTTTCGAGTGCGATACATATGCATTTTAGATAAAGCAATATCATATCTCGGTGCTACTAAATGCGGTTGATCGATTTGCTTGTTAGGCCTTTTAAGCTGTTGAACGAAATATAAACTTACATACAACTTGCTAAATACATATATTACTGAGCAAATTTCCCTCTTCGTCTCAAAATTTATCGCTTATTATTAATATATTATACAAATTTTTACGTGTTATATTAATTAATAAGCGGAAAACAAGTCTTTTTTAACAAATTAAAACATTAAAATAACATTACAATAATATGGAAAAACATAGCTAATGTTACGTATGTAACAACTTATTATCAATATTATTAATGTTAAATATTTCTTCGCATTTCGTTAACATGTCGTCGCACAATTAATCAAGCTGCGTTACTTATATCAACATTTACAGTATTTTAAACAACTTTTTATTGTTAATCTTCTTTCATTCATTTATTATTTACGACTTCTATTATGAAATTTCCATATCGTTAGACTTACATACAATCATTAAATAGAGATCTTGACCTTTATGAATTATTCTAGTTTCCTCAACTTTTTAATTATTATTTTGCATTTCTGTTTAAAATTATTGTAAATGCACAATTACTAGTAAAAAAAAAACAAATATAAAATAAAGAGAACAGACTTCTAGTTGTAGGCATCGCGAAAAAACTATATATAACATTTGAAACAAGTTCTTTTTTTTATGAGTAAGAGAGGAAGTATTAGATCTGTGAGAATTAAGAAACAGATGCGGATCAGTTTTCAAAATGATGATGATCGCGATATATTTATTATTTATTCGGAGCAATTGATTAATTGACTTCGTTAGTCGTAACGTTGCCGGAATGCATTTCGAACCACAAATCCTTTACGTACGATAGTGCAAGGCCCTTGTAGATCCACGCACGCCAGCCCGTTCTCGTCTCGTCGTCGATCCTCGCCTCCAGGCTCTGACATAACGCCTTTCGGTCGTGACTTCTTCCGCTGCGCAGATCGCAGAGCAACCTCTTGCGACACTCGTCATTGCACGCCGGTCGCACCGGAGAGTTTTTATAGTAATGCCTACCAAGAACAAAGGCAAATAATCATGTTACTTTTCTCGAGGAGGGTATTGAACCGTTCAAGTTTTTTTTTTCTAAAGTGCCGTGAAGTATCTCTTCGTTTATATCTTGAAATTTCGTTAAAATATAATCCGATCGATTTTAAATAATGGAATGTATTATTGTACGATAATAAATTTTTATGTTAATACGTTATTTCCGTTCTTTTATGAGATTGTGATATTAATCATCGTATAATGCGAGCAGTAGATTGCATTACTTATAGTAGAGATCAAAGAGGGCCGGCTCGTTAGTCATCTTGTCGATCAACGAGTCCCAGTCCTTCGGCAAGAGTGACGCCATTTGATAGGCTTGCCGGACGCTATACAACTTATGCCAGATCGGGTAATCGTAAAGATTGGCTTCCTTTAGATTCATGACCCAGCTCTCGTGATCGACGACCAACTGGAATATGCGTATTAATTAAAAAATGATAAAGAATGTGAAAACAGGCGTATACAGGGTATATTGCTAGACCGTTCGAGAAACAAACACTTTTAGTATATTTTGCCGAATCCGCTTATAAGGAAACGTCATTTTACTTACTCTTGTGGTCTTGGCATGATCTCCATCGATGTAATATATTCTGTAGCCGGGATTGAGATCATAATATGGCGATACGGAAGGACCGACGTAGGCGATGCTGAGCGCTCTACCAAGGTCTGATGTATCATAGAATATCTGGAACTCGTCGTAATGCGTGTGTCCGAAGAACTGTGCCGTGATTGTTGATTCATAGCTACGTAAAGACGGAAGGAGAATGTTTGTTTCATCTAATATGTACGTTGGATAGCTCTGCAGCGATTTGTAAATCAAGAGTACGAACCGGTTAATTATATGATAATAATTTCTCGACCACACCTTGAGACAATCGGAATGTCCGGGTGGGATGTGGCCAATTATGTGCACCTTCTCGCCGTTGATCTCGGCGCCTTGCAGCTCGTACACGAGCCACTGCAGCTCGCTGACCGGATCCGTGCTGTTGATCAGCAGCCACCAGTTCTTGTTGTTACAATAGTTCATGTTCACTGAGAGAATTCTGAAACCTGGTCGAACTAGGACCGAATAGAATGCACCGCGACGAACAGTATGAGACACGCCGGCCGGCAGCCAAAGTCGCCAGTGTTTATCGAGTTCGTCATACAACCACGAAATACTGTTCTCTTCAGGCACAAAGGGCGGCGGGAAGCTAAAAGAAGCGACATTAGATATTGCATCCAAGTTGAATCATTTATTTTAGAAAGAATTGAAAAATCTATAAAATTTGCAATTTTCTCTTTTTCCCCTTTTTCTAAATACATTTTGTATTATATCTTTTTTGTTGTTAGTATACAGGCCTTAATATGAAACGATGGAAATCTTTATATTAGAATTTATTATATTATTGCTTTAACTTATTTTTAAATGCTTTCTATTTCCTGGAGTAACATCTTTTAAGCAAGCACCATTTTAAAATACTATTTCAATTGCCGCGCAAAAATATTTGGCGACAGTTGAATTATTTTCCCCTTTCATTTTTTTCGCGTCCTATTTTACACATGTCAACTTTCATCTTTTAAACTTAAAATCTACGCTATATGATAGAATCTCTCAAGAGAAAACTCTCTGCTATATAAGATCTTGATAGATATATCGTGAATTAATCGTAATCTGAAGTGATATCTTATAGAAAAGTGAAAGTGAGAGTTAATATATACATATATATATGCATGTGACATATATATGATGTACCTGTTGACCGGTGCGCTCTCGTGATTTCCTAAAGCCGGAAAAATCGGTATACCGGGAAACATCTCTACCATTTGCGCGACCGTATCACGCAAGACTTTTAGATTTTCTTCTCGCGTTTGATTCCACACATCGTGTGGAGGCAAATCCCCCGTCCACAAAATGTAATCGATATCCTGGAAATTTTTTAAACGATAAAGAGAAATTTTCCCTTTCTCCCAGTATCCAGAACGGAGAAATCAAACAATTGAGGACAATAAAAAAATCTGAAGTAACGCTCGGAGATGATTGAAATTTCTTCTTTTATGCATAAAAAATAATTATTAATAAATTAATTTGAAATTTAACGAATTAATTTGAGATTATATAGATACGTAATAATCAGTAAATCATTTATTTCCCCGTTGTTTATTGGTCACATATTACTAAAAATTCTTTCCGGACGAGGTTTGCTCCGGAAAGGATAAACATCTCCTCCTCCTCATTTTCTATATCTTTCTAATTGTAAGTTTCACGCGCGACGACAGGTTTAATCGTTCGCACGTGCTGCTCACCGAATGTGTGTCGGCGATGTGCTTGAGCATATGGTCGATCGTTCTCTTGGGCGTGTCGCACTTTCTGTAATCGCCCCATCGTCCGGCTGCGGCCGAGGCGGTCAACGGGGCGCCGTTCGTTAGCCGACAGCAGAGCGGCTCGTTGCACTCGGCGTTCGCACCCTCCTGATAGTACGGATCGTAGTGCGTGTCGGAGATATGCAGGACCTTGAACGTCGGCGCACCTTCCTGCGGCGGGATCGGCGGCTTGATCGGCGGTTTCTTGACCGGTGGGAAGGCCACTTCCCATTCGTGCAGCGGATTGAATGTGTCGTCGCACGCATCGCCGATCACGAAGCTGCAGATCTGCGCCGGACCCATGTTCACCTGTTTTAGAACATAAATCACCTCGCCCTACGACATAGATTTGCCATTTTTAATATTTTCATTAATTTGTAAAAAAATATATATTATATATATAAATCGATGCCAAAGTACGGATAAAATATATGGTTGCAAAATGTATTTATATTATCAGACATCAAATTGCCCGCATTAAAAACCGAGTAAAATCGTCAGACAATGCTACGCAAAACTTGCTCGGTTTTTGCCATTACGCAACGTTGCGCGAACCTTGTATAGTTTTTGTTAATAATATGTCGTCAGATAACGCGCTACGCAAAACTTGCATTTTTTCCGACAATTTGTTGTCAGATAGTGCTATGTAAAGTTTACTCGGTTTTTGCATGGTTTGCTTCTTATTATATATAGATAAATCTTATCAATTATCAAAGTTGGGTAGTAATTAATTAAAAAGTTAAAAGTTAAATAATAAAGTTAAAGACTTAATAACTTTTAACTTAATTTAATTAATTTTATAAGTCATTAAAACTTTACCTTAATTTAGTTTTAAAAAAATATTAACTTTTGGTTATTAAAAATTAAAAATATTAAAAAAAATATTAACTAAACCCAACCCTGCTAGTTATGTACGTATACGCAAACTTTGTTAGCAAAACGCGATTCCATTGCTGATTTATAGATGGCACCGGATTTATTGTCAACTATTAAACGAATTTGATGCTAACTTGACAACAATTTGTTATCAATTTGCTTATTGGGTATATATATGTATATACATTTTTTTCTTTTTTTAATCGTTTTCAATAGAAATAAATACATATCCAGGCTTTACCCCAAAAAGCATGGTGACTCCGTGACAAACTCGGGAACTTTGTATGTTGAGCGATACGCAGAACTGATAAATGCTAGCCATGATTTCCTCGTCGCTCTTGCCGCTCTTTATGTAGTGCTGCAGCAAACCGGCGCCGACCTTACAAGCGGTGCAAGAGACTTTAGACATCACGGAGGTTTCGACCTCCATCATCACCTGCCTCAGGTCTAGCAGCCTAAGAGCTTTGTCCACAAATCCAGATAGATGTCCGCTCGGCTGGACCGTTTCCATGTCCCATAGCATCCGCGAGTAATTTAACTGTAATTATATGTACGAATAGGAGTTGAAAATTAATGAGCGTGCATTCGCGCGGTGTCGTATTGCTTCATGACGTAAGGTGAATCAAATTGAAACAAATCTTTCAGTCGTCTCATCGCTTCCTGCAGCGCGCTGTCGATCGCGTGACTTTCCTTCTGCGATCGCGATCTCGAGATAATCAAGCGTGCGCCTCTTCCGAGATCGAAGGGAGTTCCGCACGTGAAGATGTGCCCACCGGCGGCGTTTTCTTTTACGCAAGCGGTGACGAATGGTATCGATGATCGCGCGCGACTTTCGCGGGCGAAAGTCATTGACACCGTATTACGCACTGTATGCGTGTAGACACACGAATAGAAGGAAGGCTAGAAGGTACATACTTGCATTCGTCACGGTTGTGTTTGTCGGTGATCGCCTTGGTGAAAGTATTTTGGCACTGAAAGTGAGAGTCGCGGCGACATCGTCGTCGCGTCTCCCGTCGGATGTCAGACACGGGAGGGAGAGAGATAAGAAAAAGGAGGAAAAAATGAGACGAGCGAGAGAGAAGGCGAGGTCGACGAAATCGCACGAACGCAGACGACAATCTTGAATTTTGCAGAATAAACGCATCTTTGTGAGATTCTTAATATACATATTTGTAGCAATATACATATTTTTTCAAATAGATCTAGCCGATTCAAACGTAGCCCTATTTCAACTATACTAATCTAACGATTTCTTCCGTAATTCTTGATGTATTAATTACATGATACATCACCGCGCGATATCGATATGTTATAAATATTTGCGGTCGATGCTTTTCTACGTTAATTTCATGTATTGCGGAGAAACGCGCGCGTGATCGATTAAGGTGGATGCAAGAGTGAAAATACATCGATTAAACCAATTTCTCATTCCTCATTATAAAAGCGGAGCGATCACTACAAACTTAGAAATTCTTTTTTACGGCTTTTTTCACGATTATGTTATATCTGTCATTGACGTCTTAATTTTTTCCGACTTTATTCGTTCGTTCGATAATGATTTCGTGAAATAATACGTTTCATAGGTTTTTGTTTACGGAACAGGCTCGAATCGATGCGATACGACGGCAGAAGCTAGTTTTCACATTAATCGAGTGCGAGTTAATCAGGTATGTTTTTAACGGTCTGATTACGCTCGCCATATAACTACTGTCACGCGAAGTAGAAACAGATCGAACGATGTAAACTGTTGTTGATAATTAGTCGTTATGCCTGTACAATTTTTTGCCGCGAATATAATGTTTACGAGATGTCCTTTAGCTCGTCATTAAAAAAAAAGGATTATAATTATAGAATGTGACATAAAGAGAGAATCATAAAATAAAATATAAGAAATGTATTATACTTGTTGTGCAGAAAAGAAATCAAGATTTTTTTATACGCATTTTATATAAAAAAATGTATATGAAAATATTTGGATTAGCAAATTTTAATCAAAATAAATCTTTATGATTTATAAAGTTATTTACAAATATTTTATTTTTAAATTTCATAAATTTAATTTTTTTTATATAGTTTATTATAGTTCATAAAATAATATAATGTTTTTTTCGAATTTTATGTCATATAGAAAGTATAAAAGTATTATAAGTTTGTAGTGATTGCATCGCCGCTACTTCAACTGCAATGAACCGAAAAAAATCTATTCTTCTTTATGTAAATACATTTAAATTTTAATCCTTAACGACTAGCTCTTCTTTTATCTGCGCGTACAATTTACAATGATTGTTTAAGGATTTTTATTTGTTACAATTCGGTGCGTATAATATTATATTGTATGTATTCATAATTTGCTCGACATAAAAACATTATAAAACTGCATTTTAATAAAGCGATATTTCTGAATCTCAAGCGTCGTTATGCTCTCGTCATTTCACCAACGGGCCTATCTGTTTTGTGTGTTTGTCTCTGTATTCTGTCTCACTGTCTTTCGCTTTTTATGATATCGAACAGTTGAGCGGATTCGCGAACCAGTCAGCGTGAACTTATATCTTTCTTCCTACTCTCTCGAATTTTCGACGCAGATTAAATTTTATTAAATGCAGCTGGAGCAGTGGCGACGCAATCGCCACAGTATCATCACATATCTTTTCTCGTCGAGCAAATCACTGTGTTTTCCAGCACGAATACAGTGTAGCACAGTGAATCATTTCATTCTTGTTTAACATTAGCAAACAACAAGAATGTAATGATTCACTGTGTTACACTGTGTCCTTGCTGGAAAACACACATAGATGCATGTAATACTGTACGTGCCGAATCATGATACTGACAAATGTCTTGAATAATCATTGTAACTTGCACTTGCAGAAAAACGAAATAGAAACATTGCCTAGATTTGAACTTTGAATTTATAAAGTCTTCTCGTAAATAATCAAAGAACAAAACAGACTCTCCGAAAGTCAGGCGGTCGATCGCGAGATGAGATACAGGGATTCGACTCCCAGGTAGACACCGACGGATAATATATTGGTGTGAAATAAATTTAGATCGTAAATCGAACCCAAAGATTATCGAAATTAATCGCCTTCGCTAATTAATCGTATCCGCTAATATCCTTCAAAATCTAATCAATCGTGCTAAAATTAAAAGTTTATAAGCGAGAAGATAAATCTCTCGCACATAAATAATTATATATAATATGTTGTTGAAATCGTTTCTAACTTTTTTCAAAACTTTACAATGCGTCTATAACATATATACAGTTAATGACATATCATTGACATAAGTTCTAATTAATTTTTATCTGAAAAAAAGTAGACAATTTGTCGTAGCGTTTATACCGTTTGCCAGAGAAAGTTTCCGATAATGAAGGAATTAGGGATCTTGCGTAATCAGCAGTGACAACGCAGATTTCCGGTTGGAACACGCGAATGCAACCTCTTTTGAATTGTCAGCTGCATGCAAACGCGAATGAAAGAAATTCTCTTACCCGTTCCAATTGCTCCGTGCTCGTGCCGTTGATAACGAAGGTTTCCGCCGTGGGCGGTAATTCCCGGAATCTCTCGTTGAACGGCAGTAGAGCGACGTCCATCTTTTCGGCGGCTCTGGCCTTCGCCGCGATCCATTCGTCGGCCAGCGCGGTCCAGTTGGTCGACGCTACCTCCGCTTCCCGTTTCGTCTTGAGGGATTGGGACCAAATGGGACTTCCTGCGAAAACCGGAAGAAAAAAATCGGCTTTAATTAAGTCGCGAAGGACCGAAAGCGAAACGAATGCCATCGCTTCCACTTGTCGGATATAATCGTGACAGTCGTCAGTTTCGGCGAATTATTTGTACATATTGTACAACGTGACATTCGCGAAGCTAATTTTACAATTTCGCAAAAAGCGTCCGTTGTGCAAAAACGGAAATGGTAATTGCGTGTCAGTAGCTGAAACGAGCTTTGTGATATGAATAATAACTTGTAACTTTGCCTGGATGCGGCTGGAAATCGCATTTTCTTTTTTAGATAACACACAATTAATATTACAGCTATTAATTCTACATATACATATATCGCCTTTGATTATATATATTATCTAGAATTAACATTTATTATATCTATATAAAATTCTAATTATAATAGATAATATATTGTCAGATATTTTTATAATAATAATTATATATATACAAATAACTTTCTTTTATATACGTGTTATTAGTATCAAATTTAAATTAATTACGCTTGAATTATTTAAATTATTAAAATGTAATGTGAAGAAATCTCTGAAAGAGCATTAATGCAATAAGGTCTGCGTAAAGAAGACAAATTTGTCAAATTTGTTAAATTACGAATTACAGACTGAAGTAAAATTGGTGTAAAAATTATCGATGTAAAATAAACGAGAGTCTTTTCTCCGTCATTAGATCGACGATATTATAAACTTTCTAGCCGGGCAAATATAAAAATAAATATGTAATCGCGTAGTGCGATTCATCGGACCGTTTCATGCGGAAGGAAACGTCCATTTTTCACGCTGCGATTGATCGCGATCGATCATTTACGATCTTGGAGGATTATTTGGCTAAAGTATGTCGATCTTTCCAATAAAGCACGAAAGGCACTATGTTACACGATGCACCTTGGCTCGAAAACGTGCAATTTCTCCGTTACGCTCGGAATAATCTGTAACCCGCTGTTCATGGGAAGTCACATAATTTCCCATGAATATAATCGATCGAATTGCATGCAAATCCTAAATACTTTCTCGGTAAAAAGAGGTTATGAGGTTGCGCTCAACGAATCGCGCTTTGTTTTTCAACTTGAATCGTCAACGTCATCCACTGTAAAATTTGCATGGCCGTAAAATTCGGGTTCATCTCATCGTAATCTTTTTCCATATTACATAAGGATAATGTACGTACATATTTTTCACTGCTATTGTCCGCTTTTGTTATATAATTTGTTTTACGTTTCTATCTCTCAGTATTCAATACGCGTACTTTAATTCTTTTTTAAAACAATTCTATTTTTAAAATATTTCATACATATAAAGAATATATTTTTTAATCAATAACGCTATTTTTTAAAGTGCACGTACCGGCAACAATCCATGTTGAACTGGTCAGGAAAACGCACAATAGAAAGATGCGACTTGATATTCTGCTTTGATTTAGCATGCTATTTTGTACTCTTTGGTATTGTTACCTGCAATCATAAAAAAATATAAAATATAGAAATGCAATTAAAAAAAATTATATTTATATTACAAGCTAATTTTTTAAGGAAAATCACACTTGTTATGCATTAAATGTCCCGTGCAAGATTACGCATTTGTTGAAAATTGTGATTAATCGTCCGGCGAAGGTATCCGCGAAAGGTGCGCAAAAAAAATTACCGGGGGAAAGAATTTGTATTCGGCGGAGCGTAACTTGCACTTTCCGTGGCGGCAAACGAGGCGTCGAAAATCATGTCGTTGTGATTGAGGAAGTTCCGCGATGAAAACCCGCGCAACCGTTTTCACGGTCGTAGGTGCCGTTTTTATATAGTTTCTTTTTTCGCGGCGCGACGACGTGCAACGTGGGAGAAACGCGCGTGTCGAAATGATAATTTATTTTTGGCGCCATCGCACGTATTCGATCTATACCATACTCTGTTACACCATACGAAATTTTTCGGCGCGCACCGATCGGGCCTTGTCACGCCCGTTACTGTTACTTGTACATAAGTGGGTTAGTGACGGCACGACGACGTCCTTCGAATGTGTATAAAATAATAATGATTCCCGTTTGGATCGGCAGAACGTCGGCACACGTCGTGTCATACCGAAGTTAACGGAACCCGTTCGATTCTCCCGCAAGAATTCGTTTACAGTATTAGCGGATTCTATGCCGGTAACGGAAGTTTCTTCTGGAGATGATTGGGATGTTTCTATCAGCAAAAATGTAATCCAATTCCGCTGTCGACCGCAAAATTTTTAATTTCACCGTTACATTGATAAATGAGTATTTCCATTAACAGAAAGAGGAAGAGAGAAATGAATATAATTATTTAACCAATTACACATTATTGCATTCATTTCTATTCTGTTTCTATTCCTATATACATATATACATATGTACATCCATTGTGGTGTCCAAATAGAGACGACAAAAAAAGATAACGGAAACGAAATTGATTTAATTTTAAACTTTTCCCATGAAGTCTCGATTGGTAAATAGCGCCGACCAGTTTGACAAATGACGCGTAATTCGCCGAGGGGGTTTATCGAGCAATTTATTATGAACGCGTCACGCGATTTTGTGAAGCACTGTTTTCATTATTCGGAACTACGGTCGTATTGGAAGCAGTTGAAGCGGAAATGAACTGGAGCCGACGGGGACGTTTGTAATGAATTACGCGGATGAGTTATGTCGTACGTCAGACGTTGCACGTGTGTGTCAAGGCTAAACGTGTCATTCGAACGCGAGATACATCTTGGCGGCTGGCTCAATACCCACAGCATCTGTACATCTCTCTATGCACATTTTTTTTTATTATAGAGTTATTATTTCTCAAATAAATCTTTTCTTGTAGAAACAAGTTGTGATATGTTAATTTAATGAATTAAAAGATTGTAGTTACAAGTTACAATCTTGATTTTAATCTTTTAAAAGCCTAATTATAAAGTATTATAAAAGATTTATTTGTTTAGTATTTATAAAAATAACTTATTTTATCATTATAGCAATGACTATGTTATGTCATTATTAACATTATTGTTGATAGTGTAAATAAATAGTATCATATTTGTCATTTAATATTATATTATAATAATAATCTCTAGAAAATTTTCCGTTTATTATTTCCGTAATGAGAAAGTCAAAAATATAAACTAAAGTTCGCCTTTATAATTTCGAGCTGCGTAATTTGCCATGTCACTTTATAATTTCAATTAAATTTCACGGAGCCTGGTAATCGTTTATTCCAATCTCGCTGGATTGGCGGTTACAGTGGGTCAGTGGGATCAGTTTCGGCGAAAGTTACATACGCAACAGTATCTGTATCCAATGTGAATGGTGAACAGTGCGCGCTGCACTTCCGAATGTCCTTGCAATTCTGTTTTATCTTTTTTTTTTTCATTCTTCTTGCGCAGTCTTGCCGTTTGTGACGAAATGGCTATTATGAAATAAAGATAAAAACTAATCTTTTTTATCAATTGTAATAGTCACTTAAGTTGAATATTTCTGAGTGGAATTTGACATTTCTAAGTTTTTTCAAACAGATATTTTGAGACCACGTCCTCAATTTCGCCAATTTGCTATAACTCTTCGAATTGGAATATTAATTGCGAATTTTATTGCGTTTATTAAGAAGATATGTCGCGATATAGAAACGTATATTTGATTATCATTTTTTCTTTAATTGGTAACTTTAATTTTTAAGAGGACAACGTAAAATTATACATTTTTCTTCCTTCAAAGTTTTTCCTTTCGAAGAAGGATAATACCTCGCGAGAGGATCGCTCTCAAATTTTCGCCGACGCTGAAATTACGAGTCGACGCAGTTAATCGAGGTGCGAGCAAGCTGGCCAAGTAGAATACGCGGCTGACCGTTATTTGACCCACCGTGGGGCCCAACGAAAGAAGACTCACTTAAACTCGTCGTGAACAAACTTACGTAAGTGCATGGGTATAGCATTGCAAGTTAGTCTAGACTGATAAAAAACATCTAGCAAAAATTACACAAAATAATATAATCTTACCGATTTTACTTAACCACTAACCACGTTTATATTCTATACGTTTGCTCTTGAGTGTATGTCAATGTCACGTCTACGTCACGTGTATGTGTATATGTATGGTCTGCATATATTGTACCACATGGTACATGTCGATCCGATCCATCGCGATATCAGACGCGTGCGCTTTCGATTCGACACGGACCTGCGCTTCTGACACTCGAGTTTCATAGATCGTGACGAGGAAATAGGATTGGCACAGTACATCAATTTAAACCCTATCCCCTATTGCAAATTAAGCAAGATTCTATCACGCTAATCGCGCGCGCGATGACGAAACTGAACCGCAAAGGAAATCTCTCATCGACGATTCGTCGCTTTTCGTATAATCGCTGCGACGAAAAGGACGATGTGTAATCGGCGAGATTTGATTTCCTCTCCGGAGCCGTATAGCTATCTGTTCCGCAATCGCATTCTTATTATATATTAATGTGAGATATATATATATAGTCCCGAATACGACCCAGATAGAAAGTAGTAGAAAATTTTTTGACCGCCTTTCTCTGAAAATATTCAAATACGAGCTTGTACAGCTATCGAAAAAAGAAACAAAAATTGCTGTAGCATAGATAATCAATCGTGTAAATTTTAGAATTTTTTAAAAAGATTAAGAACAAGTGGGTCTTATTAAGAATTCAGGCCATGCTTGAATTCTTGAAGTAGGCATTTATATGTACATAATATGCACATATATATACTTTTATGTCTTCTTTATGTAAAATCAAAAATATACGTTATAAATATATATATGAATGTACATATAAATACATTGAAATATTGGATAAAATAAACAAAGGATTTCCTGAATAATTTGGAAAATCTGTCGTATATTACGTTTGACGCTTTAACGTATGCAAATCATCATTCCATCTTAATTAACTGCAAAGCAATTTCTCTTTCACAAGATGGGAAACTATTCAAACTTCCAAGCCGAACTTCGGCTTCCTCTGTCTGCTTCCGGTGATTCGAGTGCATTACTTCCTGAAGCACAGCTAGAAGCCGACGGACGATTAGCGCGTTGATACGCACGCGCTTCCGGCATCTTTTCCCGAATGCTAATGAACGCGGATATACGACCTTCTCCCTTGCTCCGTGTTACGACAAACGAAAGTCACTGTCGCCACGCGAACACGAGGCTGGACACACAATCGCGCGTAACAGCCTCATAATTTCCCCTCGCAAGCGCGCGCAACCTGACGCTCGGTCGGAGTTTCGGGAAGGAAACAGCGCCATGGCATAAATGGCCGTGCACGGATAATTTACAGCGCGTGAAACCACGCCGCTGTGCCACATATGCCGTTGAGAAGGCTTTGCTTCTCGATCGGAGGATGAAAGTTGGCGCAGGGAATACCGAAGGAATTCGCTGGAGAGCAATGTATAGTGGAGCTGTGAGACGGCTGTGATATGCTTTTGAGATTTCAGCAGTGTTGTTGGCAGATTGATGTAGATAGAATTACATAGAGATTGGATCAGTTTCATTCTGGAACATGTACGTAGCCTCGTGATGGAGAAATTTTCGCAAAATTGAAAATGAAGAATTAACTTTGAAAAATTCAATTTGTTAAACATAAAGAGAAGAAGCTAATGTTGTTAAAATATCAAGCTGTTATTTAGCAGAAGAGAAATGACTAAAGGAAAACGGATATTGTAGGATTCTAAAGAACTTTTTCAGCGTGTACATAGTAGATGTAATTCAGTCATTAAATTCGATTGAAACTCGAACTTGAACTGCCTCGAAATATTTTTCCAAAAAAATCTAGACTGTCTTAGTTATATTTTATTTGTCTCTCCCACTTTCCAAATCGAAATATTCGCTTGATAATATCGTTATATAGTCCACTTTCGTCATGGAGTAATCGTAATCGGTAAATTGTGCACATATATGATCGTGCATCGTTTGCTCTTTCTACGAAGCTACGATTCCTCGCGGTCGTTAATATTTGTTTCTAAGAGACGACGATATTCCAGACAGTGACACGAATGATCCACTTTCGTCATCAGCTGGTTTACGATTGCGCGCGTGTGATTTTCCATTTACAAAGTTCCAGTTTCTTCGGCCGATTCAAGAAATCGGGCGCGCTGGCTTCCTCCTTCCTCCCATAAATCGTTCGCTTTTTCACTTTCCGAATCATTGTGCTGCGGTAACGTTATTAGGGATCCACTTTCGTCACTGATGGTTAAGGTCGTTGCCGACGCATAATTTCTGACTTTATAGAGCCATAATCTTCCGAAGGAAGTTCAGGAAGCGTTGCGGCCGGCTTTCATTATTGTCGCGGTCACCTTTCTAGTTTTGTGAGACACTTTGATAAGCAATTCACTTTCGTTACTGGTATCATTACAGGGAATTTTTGTACAAATATTTGAATTATTATTGGCGAAAGCACGAATTATTTAAGACATATATGCTTCCATTAAAATAATGCCACAA